TTGCCCTGAGGCATGTGGGATCTTTCCAGACCAGGGATGGAACCTGTGTCCCCTGCATTGGCAGGTGAATTCTTAACCACTGGACCAGGGAACTCCCAAGGACCTCCTTTTTTATTTCTTGTATGGTTTCAATCATAACTGGGTTTGTCAACCTCATTCTCCATCACTTGACGTGAATGCTCACAGTTGTGTGTTGGTGCATTTTTACATCAGTTGCTTTAAAGCCTTCGTTTAAAGATGCTGGGTTGGTCAGTATAGCATCTGCCATCCCAGTAAACCTGTTTGCCAGGTGTCATTTCTCATGCCCACTGGGGTTCTCCTGGTGCTTTTTCACTGAGGAATTTTAGATCTTATCCTAACGCTCGGTATTCTTGATGAATAAACACTTTGTGGGTTGTTTAATGCCTTGGATGAAATTCCAGGGCATTGCAATGCTTGTTCCTAGGTTTGTATTTGCTTTTTAAGGGAGAATCTTTTTGACCTCCTCACTCCTTCATGCTGGAAATCTGTCATGTCTTTAGGCAATTCACCCTTTCATCAGCTATATTTCTTAAATGCCTACAACAGGGCCAAGTCTTTCTTAGTTACTGGGGACAGAACAGGTGCAAGCTCAGCCCTCCCAGATTTTACTTAACCAGCAAAAAAAACAATTAGGTTGTTTTCAGTAGCAAAAAGTGCTATAAATAGTGACTTTTAATAAGCACCTGCTATGTGCTAGGTCCTGGTACTTTCCTGTTTTACCAACAAGGACACTGAGGACAAGTGGATGAGTGATCATCTGGCCACACAAAGTGCCCCCCACATAGTAGGCATTCATTACATATTAGTCAGTAGTTTTATTTCTTCTGCAAGTGGTGATGTCACTTACAGAAGCTCCAGCCAGGGCTGAAACCTGGCATAGCTGGGACCCAGGGAAGAGGGTGTTCTGACCTGAAGGGCAGGGGCAGGGCCTGGGCTGGAGTTCTACTGGGGAGCCCGTTCTCCAGGGGCAGGTGGAGAAGCCCTGAGAGCCCCAGCTCTGCTCAGCCTTTAGCAGAGCCCTCACCTCACACCCAAACACCTGTGGCCAGAGCAACGACATAGGGCCCGTGACAGCAGCAACCTGGGGTTTGAGTCAGCCCCTTGCCGCCCTGTCTGGTCTTCACAGAATGCCTGTCAGGAAGGTGCTGCCCCATCAGTCTGCGCAGGAATGGATGGGGCTCAGGAACCCTATGAGGCCCTGTTGCTCAGCCGGCACCCCATCCCCAGGCCCAAGTCTTGCCGAACCCAGGGAGCCCATGGCCAACAGCCGTCCTGCTCCCTCTACAGTGAGGACGTCCTGCATGTGACTGTCTCCAGCCTCCCTACGGCTTTCATGCCACTGCTTCCCCAGGTGGCTGGAGGCTCAGGCACTGCATCCTGACCCCACACTCAGCCTGCCCACTCTGAGCACTGGACTCCGAGCCCCCAAGCACTCGGGCCACTATCCCCAAGGGATGGTGGAAGTTCCGGGCCAGCCTCTCCCAAGCCTAGCCCCTGTCACACCCACCCTAAAGTTAGAGCAGCCCCAGCCCAGGCCTCACAGCCTAGAGCCTGTGTTCCCTCAATACTGGAGCCGCACCCAGGGGTGTCAGCAACACAAGGACCTTGAGCACCTCTGGGGACCCCAGACAGGGGTGTAGCCCATCTGGGGATCAGGCCATGCTGTCCACAGGCTGGGGCAAGACTAGATGGAGGCCGAGATCCCTACCCCTTTCCCCACTCTAACCAGGACATGCTACCATCCACTCAGAGGCCCCCGAGGCCAGCTATGGGGAGTGACTGGCAGAACCCCTACCTTCCTGGCTTAGTAAATGCAGCCTTTACATTATTGCTTTAAAAAAAAAAAACCTACCCTTTTTTTGGATTATCCCACTCTTGAAATCATTGGTGAGGTTGAGACTGGGGTGGATGGGGACAGGCTGACCAATGGGCTGCTGAAAGGTGGCCTGGGAAGATGGGGGACGCCCCCACCAGAGCTTCTTCAAGGAAGGCCTCAGTGCCTAGCTGGGAGTGGCCCCCACTACCCTCTCCTCTAGGGCTGGCCTGGGCTGCAAAGCTGCCATGCCCAAGGGCTCAATTCCCTGGTTGGCTGCCTGAGGCTCAATGAAGTTCAACCCTAATGATCTCTCCTCACTCCAGGACTCCTGATGGGCCCCACCACAGCCCCTCTGGGCCAACCACCTGAGCTGACACCACCCCTCACCCAGTCCTGCATCCCTCAGCCCCCTCCTGGGGTGCTGGTCACCAACACATATCCTGACCCCACCCTCTGTCTCAGCAGCTGCTCCCAAAGACACTCCTACAGGAGGGAGTCCCAAACAGGAACCAGCCACAGCAAATCACAGCCGAGTGCCCTGCCAGCCCAGGTTCCTAGATCTGGGCTGCCAAAGGTGACCCTAGGGCATTGCTGGCCTTGACCTCAGCCCCCCAGGTACAGGCTCAAAGGCTCTGACCAGTGAGGGGTGTCATATGGCCTGAACAGACTAAGCAGAGCCCTGCTGGCTGGAGCCAGGAGCTGGGGGCGGAGAGAATGGAGCCGAGTTGAGGACCACTGAGCTCTGAATGTGGGAGAGGAGCAACAACCTCTGGGGGGTCTCAGCCCTGAGCTGGAAAGAGGGCAGCCTAAGAATTCCTCCCAGTCTCTCCCTTGAGGGTCTGAAGCTTCCCATCACCCTGGGAGCTGAGCTCTGCTTGGGGGTGGGAGCCTCATGGTTTCTTGAGGCCAAGAGGAGGGGTTTCAGGACCCCACCAACCCTGCACATCTTCCCTTCTCCCCTAGCCCTCCAACCCAGCTGCTCAGGCCTGAGCCAGGCCCAGGGAGCCCCAGGGAGGCAGGGGTCTGGGTCCCTCAGGGAAGAGATGGGGATGTGGCTGCCTCAGGGCCATCCCAAGGGCCTAGCACTGTTTGGGATCCCCGAGGAAGAGAGGCTCCTAAGGTCCCAGGTGCAGGACTGGAAGGCTGTGAGCCCTGCCTGGAGTGACTAAAGTGTCACATGCTCACCCACCCCTGCGGACTCGCTGGGACATCTCATCCTCTGCTCCCCACCAGGAGGCAGGACTTAACATCAACCTCCCCACCCCCACAAGTCTGGGCTTCCCAGGTGGCACTAGTGGTTAAAAAAACCTGCCTGCCAATGCTGGAGACATGAGAGATGCAGGTTCAATCCTGAGTGGGGAAGATCCCTTGGAGGAGGAAATGGCAACCCACTCTAGCATTCTTGCTCAAGAATCCCATGGACAGAGGAGCCTGGTGGACTACAGTTCATAGGGTTGCAAAGAGTCAGACATGACTGTAGCAACTTAGCACACACACACACCCACAGCCCAGTGCACCAGGGCTCCCTCTGGCCCCAGGGCCTCTGCATCTCCCTGCACTGGTGCTAAGGCAGCACTGTCTCATCTTCAGGACACTGAGCCTGAAGAGGGCAGGGTCTCCCACTCACCGCCCCCGGTGCACATGTGGGTTATCCACGAGCTCTGGGTGGTAGAAGCCACAGCAGCAAGGTCAGCACCAGCCTCCAGCTCTGAGCACCTCCCAGCAGAAGCCCTGACGGCCCCCTGCCCCTAAGCTCTCTCTGCTCAGACCCCACCATGGAATGGGTCTGCCCCAGGGGTTCCACTCCTCACATTGCTGCCCCTCTCCCCCAGGGGTACTCTGTGTCCCTCCCGGGCCCCCAGGAATGGCAGCAGCCCTCAGTTTCCCAGCTGCGCCCCCTTCTGAGTAACCAGCAGGCCCAGGATCCAGAGCAGGTGCCTTGCCAAATCCTAGCCCCATTTCCTGATCATGTGAACTGTCCATGGTCCTGGACGGGCCCCTCAGGCTGGCTTCTCCAGCTTTGGTCCCTGGAACCCCGGTCCTGTTGGAGGCACGGGTGACGGGCACCCACGAGATGCCCACACACTTGGACGCCAACTACAGGGATGTGGGAGTCCAGGGAAGGGACAGGGCCCAGTGGCTGAGGGTCCTTCACACCAGATGGAGGGGCTAGACCAGATGGAGGCCAAAAGCCCTACCTTTTCTCCGTTCTAACCAGGACATGCCACCATCCACTCAGGGGCCCAAGGCCAGCAATGGGGAGTGACTGGCAGAACCTCTACCTTCCTGGCTTAGTAAATGCAGCCTTTACACTATCACTTAAAAAAAAAACTACCCTTTTATCGGATTATCACTCTTAAAATCATTGGTGAGGTTGAGACTGGGGTGGATGGGGGCAGGCTGGCCAGCGGGCTGCTTGAAAGGTGGCCTGGGAAGGTAAGCAAGAGCGAGACAAGCCTGGGTCTTGCCCAAACAGTCCACCCTCTTGGTGCCAATTGCACTGACCTTATCAATGATCCCTCAGTGAGGAGGAGGCATGCCTGGCTGCCACTCCCATCACAGGTCTTGCCACGGACCACTGTCCAGGCCCAGCAGGCCCCCTGCTCTTGCCCAGCAGTTCTGAGCACTGGGGCCTACCTCACCTCCTCCTTGCTCAGCCCTCAGCTTAAGCCTGACATTCCCTCTCCTGTGGAGAGCAGCAGAAACAGACTGGAAGTGCAGGGGCCACCGTCCAGCACGCTTGCCGCCTCCAATAAGCTGGAAAGGTGGAAACAGGCTGGACTAGCAGGGGTCCTGGGTCCCAAATGATGGCCAGAGCCCAGGAAGCTGGGATGGGAAATGGGAAAGAGACAGGGCCTGCTTTCAGGCTGGGGCGGCGGTTTTTTAACCACCTCAAGCCCAGATGCGCTGCCCGGCAGCCCAAGTCAGACAGACAACAGGGATGGATTTCCTCCGGGGCGGACCAGCTAGGGCAGCGCCACGGGGGCGGGGATGGGCGGGGCTAAGCTGAGCTTGGGGCGGGGCCTAGTTGGCCTCGCAGACAATTAGGCGGGGCGGGACCGAGCCTAGCTGGGGCGGGGCCGATATCGGGGCGGAGTCTCGCCAGGGCTGGGGCGGGGCCGAGAGTGGGGCTGTACCGCCTTATAAGGGGTGGGGGGCCGCGTCCGCGCGTGCGCGCCCTGCGTGTCTGGTTTCTGGAGCGGCCGTCCGCTTTTTCTTACGCAGATGGGCTCTGTGGCCTAGCGCCCCTGTGCCCACCGTCCGTGATCGCACGCCGAGGCCCGCGAGGGGTCGCCGCCGAGGTGGGGCCCGGGCGGCGCGTGGATGAAGTCGAGCGGCCCGAATGGGAGGCAGGGGGCGGCTGGTGCGCGACGGCTGGCGGGGCTGACTGCCGGGCTACCGGGAAGTCGGAAGGGCGCGGGTGGGCAGGGGGCGACGGATAGGACCCGGGGCACGGAGCTGGGGGCCCGCTGGCCACAGGTAGGGCCACTTCCCGGAGCCCCAGGCCGGCAACCCAGCGCACAAAGCGCCTTTATTGTCCCTCGCGGCCGGTTCGGGCTGGTTGGAGCCGCCCGCGAGGAGAGGGCGGGCCGAGAGTTCCGGATCCCCGCCTCGACTTGGTAAACAAACCCGGCCTCCGCCCCTCCCGGGAGCCCACAGGGCTGACCTGACCCTGGGGTCCGAGCGGGTCTACTCAGCCCGGGTGGGGAGCACCCTTCTACGGAGGCAGCAGTGACCGAAGGGGCTCCCCGACCCCCGCGTGCGCAGGTTTCCACCAGCCCGCAAGCAAGAGCATGGCAGCCATCCCCTCCAGCGGCTCGCTCGTGGCCACCCACGACTACTACCGGCGTAAGTCAGCCCCTTGCCCGCGTCCTAGTCCGTCCCGAGCTCCCCCCGCCTAGAGCTTGTGGGGTCAACTCCAGTTGCTTGAGAACCTGTATCCGGGTGGGGAGTGAGCTGCTAAGGACCCTTGGCACTGGCCTGCGCTGCCGGTGAAGCCAGTGCTTGGCCGGGTGGACTGGAGGCCCGGTGCCCCGTGGAGCTGAGTGGGCCTCTTCTCTCCAGGCCGCCTGGGCTCCACTTCCAGTAACAGCTCCTGCGGAAGTGCCGAGTACCCTGGGGAAGCCATCCCCCACCACCCGGGTGAGTGCAGTGTCCCCTCTGTCCCCAGGGCCATGCCCAGGGAGAGACAGCAGCACTTTGACTTTGCCTCACTCCTCTTAGGTCTCCCCAAAGCAGATCCAGGACACTGGTGGGCTAGCTTTTTCTTCGGAAAGTCCACTCTCCCGTTCATGGCCACAGTGCTGGAGTCCCCAGAGCAGTGAGTGTGCCTCTCTGGGGACCAGTGTGAGGGGAGGGGCGGGGGCAAGTGGAAACAGCCCCTGACTTCCTGCTCTCCCCCAGCTCGGAGTCTGCCCAGGCCTCCACCAGCACGATCACCTGTGACCTGGCTCGGGAAGCTGTGGGGAAGCAGCAGCCCAGCGGCCAGCCTGGCAAAACCAACTGCAGGCCCCCATCCTGAGTGACCACCACCAGCTGCCAGGCTTTCTTCCAAGGCGCTAGGCTCATCAGAGCCCTCTTCCTTCCCCCGCCCTGTACCCTTCCTTCCCTTCCTCTCCCCAAGACCAAGCAGGCTGCAGTCAAGGGAAGCAGTTCGGTTTTTAATATCAAAACACCAAAAAGGAAGTTGAGAGAACCCCACTCTCTGCTATCCGAGCCACACGAACACGCCTTCCTCACATCCCGGAACCCTGTGCCTTGCACCAAGTGGACAATAAACTCCAAGAGTGAGCAGCCTGGTGTGTGTGTGTGTGTGTGAGAGAGAGAGCTGTGTGTTCCCGCGCCCCTGAGGGAGAAGTCACTAACCCCTCAACCTTCTCATTTCCAGGTGTGAGAGAGCTGGCCATGCTCCTTGGCCTTCCTGGAACCCCTCCTAGGGGCCTTCTCTGAGGTCTGACCCAGGTTCATGTGGGCAGACAGCTCCAGTGAGTGTGGAGCCTTGCATCTGAGAAGGGGTGGGGTCCCTGGCTATTTCGGGAAACCAGGGAGAGCAGGCAGTCCAAGAAAAAGCTTCCAAGGCAGCTGCTGAGGTCAGAGCCCTCTATTGTGATTCCACCCCTGGCCCCTCTTGCTGCTGCTATAGGAGGCCGGCAGGGTCTCTACCTTGGGGTCAGAGGGATGCCAGTGCCCCCTGGAGGACCTTGAGGAGGCAGTCCTCAAACTTGCTTGCCCTCTTTTCTCCCATGTGTCTTCTGTTAAGGATGTTACCTCCTCTCTTCTCTTGTAGGACACACTCTGGACAGGGCCCCCAACCCCCGGGTGGATCTGAGGCCCCGGCACCCCACTGAGGCAGAGGGGAAGCAAGTGTGGGAGGCTCCTGTGGGTCGCTCTCACCAGGGAAGCCCAGCTTTGGGCAGAGTCTGACTCCGGAGGCCTGTGTGGTGTTGCGAGGGAGAGGTCCTCATCCTCTGCCAGCCTCCTGGGACAGGCCTGAGGGGTGGGCTGGTGGTGTCCACATTCAGTGGCCAGCAGAGTTTGACTGGGGTGTGGGGTCAGGAGAGGGCAGTTCAGTGAGGCAGTGGACAGAGCTTTGGTGTGAAGTCAGAGGCTTAGAGGGTGGCCTCCCATGCTTGGAGGGCCAGGCTCTGCTGGAGGGGCCCATCCTCTGGCCGCCCCACCCCAACTCTGTTCTAAGTCACATAAGTCATTTGGGTGGCTCGTAGCCCCCAAAGCCTACACTGTCTGTCCCGCCTGCCCTCTGTGTGTCCAGGCAGGTTGCAGGCTGGGGGGCAGGCTCTCCTGTGGTCCCAGGGAAGGCTGGTGGTCAGTGCTAAGGCTGGGTGGGGGGGTCCACCTCAAGGATTAGCCGGACCCCCACCCAGTCCTCCTGGCCACAGTGTCCAGAGGAGGCCCCCAGACACGCCGGGGCAGGTGTTTGCCAAGGCAGGTGGACAGGAACAGCACTGGCCCCCGGGGAGCAGGTGTCAGTGCCTGTCTCTGCGGAGGACTGGGGGGGTCACACCCCCTCAAGTCCAAGGCTCAGGCAGGGCCAGGGGGCAGAGGAGGTACAGCCAAAGCCTAGGTCCCCACCACACGGCCAGGGAGGCTTGACCCTGGTCCTGCTAGTTGGTGGGCTTCAAGTCAGGACCAGGGACAGGTCCATTCTGAGGAAAGAGGGGTGATCTGGCTCCAGGGCAGACGTTGACTGTAGGGTGCCTGGTACTTTGCAGGTGCTGGCATCAGGGGAAGGGACAGCCCCAGCTCCAGGCTGCACTGGGGAAGGGGTAGGCCCAGGTCTGCCAGAGCCCCTTCCCAGGAGTGTCCAGATGGTTCTGGGAGTGGGCCGTACCTTCGGCAAATCCTCAGTGAACTGGGGTGGTCCACAGCCATGATCTGAGGTCCTCAGGCCTTGCTTGACTCATGAGGGCTGGCCTGGCCTCTGGGCAGCTGCAGGGAGGCTGTGAGCTCAGAGCGGGTTCTCGTACCTCGTTAGGCTGGAGAGCTTCTCCCACAGCCCTTTGAAGTAGGGTCTCTGCTCAGGGTCCTTGTGCCAGCAGGAGAGCATCAGCTTGTGTGTGGTGGGCGGGCACTCTGGGGGGCGGGGCAGGCGGTAGCCGCTCTCCACCCTCAGGAAGGCCTCGTGGTTGGACATGCCTGCGGTGGGTGGTACAAGGGGGCTCTGGAGGCAGGAAGCCAATGCCCTCTGCACCCCTGGCACTCCTACCGCCCTCCTCTGGCTGGTGGCCCTGAAAGATACTCAGTGAGTGGTGCAGGGGGTGTGACCAGGAGGCAGCCCCCTACTGCCCCGCCGACAGTCTGCAATGCTGGGACCCAGTACCTGGATAGGGCGTCTGACCCCTGCTGAAAATCTCGTGGAGGAGAACCCCGAAGGACCAGATGTCAGACTTGATGGAGTAATGCCCTCGGGAGAGCGCCTCTGGGGCGGTCCACTTGTAAGGGACATTGTGGTCATAGGAGAGATAGATGTCCTCCTGCAATCAGACACATGCTGGGGGTGGGTCTGGGGGCCGCCCCTGCAGCAGGGACAGAGCAGGGGAGCCTGGCATGTGGTGGGCAACTGTGCGGTCAGGACCCACACCATGTCATGGCTTCCTGGGAGCTGAGCTGGCAGACCCTGTCTGGATACCCACAGGCCGTGCCCCCGAAAAACCACAGTCGCAGAACCCAGTGGAAAGCCTCCCAGAACACGGGGCAGAGAATCCCTGAAAGTGAGCTTTGAGAAGACTTTGGCGGGGATAGCAGGTTAGCAACCAAGCTAGGGGGATGCAGGGTCTGCTTGAGGAGCAGTCAGGAACAGCTGACACTTAGCTCTGGGTGTCATGACTGAAGGAACCCCAAATTCTGTGTGTTAATGGGAGTCCTGGAAGTGCTTGTGTCGCCAGCCTGCTGGGCCAGGCGCCTCCCCCATACCCCGCTTGCCTGTGCGCCCTGCCCTGCTGTGCCCTGCTCAGCGGAGACTTCCGTGTTCACAGCTTCTGGGCACAGGGCTGTCCTAGACTCGTCCAAGGGCCTGCACTGCCCTTCCAGGAGCTTCCTAACCCTGTCAAGGGACAGCTTGGGCTCCATAGCCCATATCTCACCTGAGAACGGGAAGGCCACAGGAACTTCTAGTGGTTCGTGCCCTCATTGCCCGTGCCCCGCCCCCTCGGCTCTCCACCCTGCCCCACCCCTACCTTGATGAGCCTGGCCAGCCCGAAGTCCCCAACTTTGCAGATGTTGTTTTCCCCGACGAGGATGTTCCTGGCAGCTAGGTCCCGGTGTATGTAGTTCTGTGATTCCAGGTAGCACATGCCCTCGGCCACCTGTGCTGCAATGTCCATCAGCTCTGAGACAGGCAGGGCTTTCTCGTCGGAGTCTGCAGAGGCCAGGGGAGGCCAGGGTGAATGGGACCAGCCAGGGCCAAGTCCTCTCTGCAGACTCGCGTGCTCAGGGGAGGGGTTGGGACAAAGGGCAGATGGCCTGATTTCAAATTGGAACTGTGGAGCCACTGCAGGCCTTGTAGAGGCTGATAGAGTCAGCATATAGCCCTTTGGAATTTCCTTCTGGGAATCCACACTGAAGCAGAAAGAACTCACATATGTACACAGGTGTTTGGCCCAGCATTATTTACATGAAAACCTCAGAAGGTTTCAACAACAGGCACCTAAGTGGACGTGGCACATCCACGTGGTGGCCCACAGACTATCAGGATTTAATTTCTGATGAACATTTAATGATATGGGAAACTGCTTACAATGATCAAGTGGAAAGTATTCCCAATGTGCTGTATTAAAATAGACCCCCCCGATGCGCACACATGCATGTTGGGTGTAGTTTATCCTGTGTGCACACTTCCTTTTGCAGCATCTCTGCAGTCAGGCCGCGTCTGCACACAGTGGCGTCTCCGCTCACTTGCTGCGGTTGTCTGGTCTGGGTGTTAAGTGATGGCTCTTTTTACAGATGATGAGGTCTGTGTGTCAGTGAGATACACGGCATGAGAGTGTGTGCGGGTGTAAGGCTGTGTAAGCATGTTCACAAACACCAGAAGAAGGGACAGCATCTTCCAGGCTGTGTGTCCCAGTAGCAGGAGGGGTGGGCAGCCACACCAAGCCTTTGACTAAAGAGGCCTCAGTTCACTGTGGGTGCAGGAGTGATGGGTGGCTTTTCTTGTCTTTGTTCTTATCTGTATTTTGTCAAATTCCTACGACAAATGGGTGGTACATTCATCATATTTTAAATCCTTTCGTAAGCAGAAAAGTGCTGAGGAAGCCCCCAGAACCCCAGGCTGTCCTGTGCATAGTATGGAGTGCATGTCTGTGCACATCTCCCGTTCCCTCCAGTGGGCACAAGTCACTCTGGTGGCCCCACTCACCCCGCAGCAGCTCCAGCAGGCTCCCCTTGGGCATGAGCTCCGTGACGATGTACACTGGATCCCCCACAGATGCCACCGCGTACAGAGCCAGGATGTGCTTGTGCCGCAGCTTCTTCATGGCCTGGATCTCCGACTGGAACGTGTGCTGATGCAGAAGGTCGGCTGTGGGGGTGGGCGGCCTCACTGGGTGTGGCCCCTGGAGAAGCTGGGGGCCCTCTGCCTGCCCCTCCACCCAGCTGCACCAGCAGCAGCTCAGGAAAGGTGTGCACCTTTCCAGATACCCCATCTCCCAAGCCAGGATGCCAGGGCAGACACAGCTTTGTCCCCACTGTTCACATGGGGGGTCCACTGTGCCCACCAGCGGCTCTCCCTACACCCTGGGCACCACAGACACCCCCATGGGGTTTACCCCTGACCCAGCCTGATGTGAAGCTAGAAATCCCCCTAAATGTGCTCCCTTGCAGCCCTGGGTCCCTGGTTCCTGAAGTGGGTGATCTGAACCTCTGGTGGTTCATCTCTTAGATGAACCTTTTCAAATATCTGGTGATTACTTATTTTAACAGCTTTTCTTCCATTTACATTAAGAATCTAAAATTTCCTGTTAGGATAAGTGCACTTGGGTCGCAGCATGAAAGGAGAAAGCCACCCAGATGCTGCAGTGGGTGCCACATGTGGTCCAGGTTAGGGTGCTGAGTGGTGGGTGGGGCGTCAGGGCGCAGGGCTGCTGGGCCACCCAATGCCTGCAAGCGAGGCTGAAAGTCCCTGGCCTGAGGCCCACTGACCTCGGGCGATCACCTTGATGGCCACTCGGACCTTGTCCTTCCAGAACCCTTCAAAGACCTCCCCGAAGTAGCCGGAGCCCAGCTTCCTGCAGAGCGTGAACTCCTCCCGTGGCCTCTCCCAATCGTCACAGTGGGGCAGGGGCTCTGGCTCGTGCTGCAGGGACATGGGGCGGGGGCACCCGTCCACGCGAAGTCAGCCTCAGCCACGTCCTACTTGGGAGGGTCCTGGTGTCCAGCACGTGGCCAGGCTCACAGAGGCTACCCCCAGCCAGGCTGACCCCTTCTGTGTCCAGCAGACAAAAACCACCCTCCATCTGCTCTGAACCAGTGACACTGGCCTGAGTGCTATTCCGACAAAAGTCCTGTCTGCTGCCGGCCAGGGCATATGGCCGGAGAGACTTAGGACATGGCAGGAACACAGCTGACCTCTTGCTGGCCCAGGGGTGAGAGCACACCCTCCCCCTTGCCTGGCTCTGTACAACCACAGCTGCCCGGCTGCCAGAGTCCCCAGACAGTGTCCCTAAGGGTCCCCAGGCAGTTGAGGCAAGGACCCACACCCATCTCCACTGGAGGGTTCGTGTCCCTGTAAAGGGCAATGGGGAGGCCAGGGTCTGGTGTGGGGGTCAGGGGGCCCTACCTTCCGGCAGGGCGAGGTCAGCCGCAGGCCGTGGGACAGGCTCTGGACCTTGTGGTGGTCCACGAGCTCAGACAGGCCAGGAAAGGACACAGCCTCGTTGAGGTGCAGCCGGCCGGCCCGCCACCAGATCTTATAGTGGCGCACGGTCTGCTGGTCCCGCACTGGACGGAGGGGGGCACTCGTGAACAGGTGCCAAGAGGGGCCCCCAACGGGGAAGGTGAGGACCCAGCAGGACCTTGGGACAGGGGCCCAGACAGTGGGGCCCGCGCCCACCAAGGGTCAGAGCTCCCAGGGCAAGGTCTGGACGTCCCAGGGATGGGGAGAGGATAGGCCAGAGGAGCTGAACTCTACATGCACAAAGGGTTTAGGGACCAGGAGTCCAGAAGTCAGGCCTGGGGTTGGGCGGGGGCGCTGTGGAGCAGGGAGAGCAGGAAGTAGGTACCCGAGAGGACATAATCGGCGCCAGGCTTCTCGCTGACACGAATCAGGAAGGACCCCTGCTCGTTGCCCATGGCCTGCAGTCGGTGCAGAGCTTCCGAGCGAGAGATTCGGCCAAAGAACCACCTGCAGGATGGGGGCACCCTGAGCAGGACAGATCCCCCCAGTGCCCCCACCTTAAGTCTCAGCCCCTACCTTAAGTCCAAGCCTTCACCTGACCTGACCCTCTGCCTCGGGTCCCAACCCAAACGCACAGTTGCTCTCTGACACTCACTGATCCAGAGTACCCTTCTTTGCCCACTGCCAACCCTAAATGTCCCAAGTGACCAATTCTGGATACCAGGAAAGGCCTGGAGATCCAGAAGTGGGAAAGGCCCCCCACCACCCTGCCTGGGGCATCCCGTCTGTGGGGATAGAGCCCTCTATCCTGTGGGTGCAGCGACCCATCCCCAACTTCAGCTGTGACTCTGCAGCCATGCACTTGGACCCATCTTGTTTGGATTTTTTGTGTTTTTTTTTTTGTTTTGGCCTTGCCAGACAACATGCAGGATGTGGGATCTTAGTTCCCTGACCACACCTCTACAATGACAGCGCAGCCTCTTAAACACTGGACCACCAGGGAAGTTCCTGGGCCACACAGTCCTGTGACCCTGTGGCACCTTCTGCCCCTGGGGCCACAGACACACAGTGCTCAAAAGCCCTGGGACCTGAGGATTCACACGCACCAGCAAACACCCATTCTCACACCCCGGCCCCCAGCGCCAGGACAGGGACCAGCCTGGACTCTGGAGGGTGGAGTGGGGCCAGTGGGGCTCCCCAGGGAGCCTCTGCTGCCAGCTGCTCTGCCTGCTGCACCCTCGACTCCTCAGGCTCTGTTGAAACGTGAGCCCCCGCACAGAGGACCACTGCCCAGCACTGAGCCCTGTGGGGCTCACAGCCCACTCCCACCCACCCACCCAACACCTCTGGAGTCTCTCCCCTTTGCTCCCAACCCCACCTCCTTGCCTCCTTCCACGTCTCGATGTACTGTGTTCCCAGGGACTCGGGGCCTTTGCCCTGGCCATGCTGGCCCCGCCTGAGGCCATCCAGTGTATGTTGTGTCCCTCCAGGAGGACACAGTAGGCACTCCATCAGTGGGGCGCATGGGCACCCAGGGACTTCCTCCTCCAGACCCTCCCCCCACCCAGAGCTCACAGAACCTCCTCGGGTCATGTAAGCACGCCCAGGCCAGGCTGCCCCTGTGGCCCAAGCTTCCTGGGCAGCCCCTCAGGACTGTAGTCACCTCCCAGAGCTACCTTGCCAGTGACAGGCAGCCATGCTGACACAGGAAGCATGTCTGTGGCCCACACCCCGGCCGGCCTGTCGCAACAGCCTTCCCACTCCCTCTGATGAGGCCACATGTCTGGTTTCGGGTATTTAGAAGGGGAGCAAAGCTTCACTCCCCAGAAGGCCCAGACTCTGCCCTCTCTGGGTCCCACACGGTGCACTGACCATGGGGAAGCCCAGGGGAGGGGCCACAGTCTCAGGACCCCCTCCCCAGAAGTCACACACAGATGCCCAGCCAGGGATCCCAAGACCAGGTTGGTAGGCCCCACCTCTCAGGGGGGCAGGGGCAGGGAGATGGAGCCATGGAGTCCCAATCTGTGGCAGCCCAGGGCTCCTGCCCACACCCAGAGCCCAGCCACAGAAACACAGAGCTCTGTCCCTACAGACCCCTGCCCCAAGCTCATGAGGGGCTGCATGGCCCAGGGATGGGGGTGCCTTGGAGTGACCCACCAGGGCCACAGGGACACTCACGGCTCTGACTCCACTGTCTCCTTCTCAGCCAGGTAGTTGTGGGGCACGTAGCCCTCAGCCAGGGCCCGGCCCGCCCCATCCAGGCGCACGGCCCACCACCACTCCTCCTCCTTTCTGGCCACATGGAAGAGGTCCCCTGCCCGGAAGCTCAGCTCCTCAGCAGTCCGAGCCTCAAAGTCCCAGAGGCCCACGTACTTGGGGCCCAGGGGAGCCTGGCCCTCGGACCCCATGGCTGGTGTAGCGGCAAAAACTGGGCTATCCAGCCTTGCCTTCTCCGGTCCAGCTGGGAGCAGCATGTGGGCAGGGCTGTCCCCAGCAGTCTGTCCCTGCCCCACTAAGCCACCACCCATTTCCCTGTGACGAGGCGGCCGGGCCAGCCACACCTGTGCCACCAGGGACGGTCCCTCTCGGGCCTTCTCAGGCACCCTAGGCTCCTGAGGGCCAACCCATGGGCCAGGTCAGTCTGGGCACTAACTGATCAGTTAACACCTGCCAAGAAAGCTGCCCACCAAGCGGTCACAGGTGCCACTGGCCACATGGCCAGACCTAAGCACCAGGAGAAGGGAGAGGGGAGTCACCGATCAGGCAGGAGGTGTGGGACTCGGAGCTGGAGGGGACGGACAAGGCATGCCCTCCCCAAACCCCCCCAGGACTGTTGTTGCTGAGCCTGGACCTCAGGATGACCAGTTCCCAGCAGGGTTCCGACCAGAAGCCCAGGGCTGCTTCTCTGCTTCTCCTCTGGGGGGAGCTCCCCCAAAGCCCAGGCACCTCCTCCCCAGCTGGAAGCTGGGGTGCCAGGGACTCTGCCCGATGGGAGGGCCATGAGGACAATGAGCAAGGGAATCACACACTCATCCTGCTTGTGGGCGGGTTCCCTTTTATTGAGAAGAGATTAGGCACCACCCGCCACTCTGAGATCAAGAACAAGCCTGCTTGGCTCTGACCAAGGAGGGCCCAGAGGGGACAGACAGATGGCTGGGCGGTGAGAAGTTCCAAAGCCCCCAACCCCGCACACCTACCCCCTCAATGGTTGGCCACAACTCTCTGACCCTCCTTGGCCTTGGGCCCCGCCCCTGAGCCATGTCCCTGGGGCCTCTGGTCCTGCCTGCGTCATACCAGCAAATGGGAGGGATCTGAGGCTGAAGCCCGGGCCCTCCTAAGGCACCAGTGTCAAACCTGTTTAGCTTGTGCTGATGATGAGCCTCCAGGAAGCGCTGGTGACCCCCACGCACACCTGCCTCTCCTGTCACCCCACCCAGCATGCTCCCTCCCAACTCCCAGGATGCCTGCCAGCCCCAGTTCCCACACACAGCAGGAAACGAAGAGGGTGAGTCCTTCAACGGGGATGGAGCCCGAGCCCCACAGGCTTCTTGGTCTGGGAACCACGAGAGCCAGAGGAGCCCAGCCCTCACCTTCGGGCCCTCCAGCTCTCCCAGGACAGGGTAGAGAGGGGTCAGGGACTGAAGGCCAGGGCAGAGCTGAGGCCCAGCTGCCTGGTGTCCCAAAAGGCTGAGGCCAAACCCTCCTGCCCCCTCTCCCATCTGCCTCGGGGAGGGGGATGGCTGGGGACTGTGTCTCAGGCTCTGACCCACAACCAAAGTGACTGGGGCCCAAGGGGTCCCTCACCCTCCCCACGCCCCTCTCCCCTGCCCTCTGGGAAGTCCTCTGCCCTAATTTCTCCAACCCTGCACAGACTTTTTCTGAGCATTTGAGCAGCTCCTGGGGCAGGAGGGTCACTTATCTGAACCCTAGGGTCCCATCTTCCTGCCCCATGATGCCTCTGCCCCTTCTGTCCCACAGGCCTCCGGAGCAGAGCTGCCAGCCTGGGGCTACCACGATGAGAGTCAGGAACCCTGAGGGCAGACCCCACCTGCCCAGTCCCCGTGCATGTCCATCTCGTGGGACTGGAGCCGGCAGGGTGAGGTGAAGCCAACAGTGCACGACGTCCTGTGACAAAGCCACAAAGCCGTGCTTGAGATTAGCCCCGGGGCAGCAGCTGCACCTGGAAACTGGCTGCTTCCTGTCACAGGAGGGCCAGTGGTCACCAGGTGCCCCGACGCCAGAGCATCCACGTCTGCCCCACCCCGACCCTGCACAGTCAGCCAGCACCCAGGACCCCAGCTCTAAGACACGATGCCTCCCTGACCTTTGCCGACCCACAGAGAACCGCCCAGAGCGTCACCCAGTCACCAGTCTGAGCTCCCTGTGGCCTGACAACCCTCCCTCCCTCGCTCTCTGCTCCAGCCCCAGGGGCACGGGAAAGGCCTGGCCTCTGCAGCCTCCCCCGCCATCCTGCTCCTGCCCACAGCCCAGGGGGTGTGCTGCCTCTGAATCCCCGGATGTGGGCGCCAAGATGCCCTGGGGTGGAGGTGGGCATGTGAGAGCCAGCTCTTCCTCGGGCACGATCCACCAGATGGAGGGCTGAGCCGTCAGCCCCAGGTCCTGTTCTGGTTAGGGGCTCAGGCCCAGGTGGCCCACAGGAGGGAGCGGCTATGCCAGTCTGTGCCACGTGGGGCCAGCACCACGGGCTTGCCAAAGCCCTAGCACCGACAGCTGCAAGAAGGCCACAGCAACCCACCAAGGCTCCTGCTGTGGGAGGGGGCTCGATGAGGCAGGCACCGGCAGGAGGCCTCTCTGCCCCGTGTCTCCCTGAGGTCAGGGCGAATGTGGGCTCTGTCTGGGCTTCTCTGCTGAGACCCTCCCTCTCTGGGGAACACTGGTCACCCTGGTGGAGGACGCTGGTCCCTCTCCTGTCTGAGCAGGTGTTCGCATGTGTCTGCCTCGTGTGCACAAGCTGTGTGTGCCAGCACGTGTCAGGGTGTGAGGCCCACAGCCAGAGGCTCTGTGGGCTGGCACCAGTTCTGAGCAGCAGGTATTGTTGGCAAACACTGTCCCGTGAGGGGGGTGCCTGGGCAGGAGCCCGGGTCATGTGAGGGTGGGGCGGTGGCGCCTGCTCGTGGCACCCAGCTTCTCCCGCAGTGTGGTGAAGTCCGGCCGCTCTTCCGGGCAGCGCCTCCAGCACCCCAGCATGAGCGCGTAGACCTCAGCCGGGCAGGCAGCCGGGCGTGGGAGCCGGTACCCCCGTGAGATCTGCTGTAGAGTCTCATGGTTGCTCATCCCTGGAGAGGGGCAAGAAGAGAGGCTGGGCAGGTGCTTCCTCCCTTGGCCTGGGAATCACCCTGGAGCCCACCTCCAGCCCTGGGCAGACCCTGCCAACCAGGCAGCCTCCAGGCCAGGTACCCCTTCCAGGCTCAGCGACCCCCCGGGCAGGGGGTGCCTCCTCCTCCAGGTTGGCTCCCACGCTTCCTTCCTTAGACTACCCTTCCCTCCTGCCCTGTGCCACCTGGAGGCCCACCTTCATAGGGACACCGGCCATATGTGAAGACCTCGTAGAGCAGAACCCCGAAGGACCAGACGTCAGACTTGGGCGAGTACACGCAGTAGTTGGCTGCCTCGGGCGCTGTCCACTTGACGGGGATCTTGGAGCCGCTGCGCGGGGAGTATACGTCATCCTGGGCAAGGGGAGACCAGTGGTGCATTGGGTGGAGAGGCAGTCTCCCCCCAGCGCCTGAGTCGCCCAGCAGCCTGTGGCTAGAGCCCATGCTGACCTTGAGCAGGCGGGCCAGGCCAAAGTCGGCCACCTTGCAGGCCAGGTCGTCGCCCACGAGCACGTTCCTGGCAGCCAGATCCCTGTGCACGATGCGCTGCTCCTCCAGGTAGCTCATGCCCTCGGCCACCTGACAGGCAAAGGTCAGCAGGAGGGGTGGGCTCAGGGCCTGGCCTTCGGGGCCTGCAGGCGGGGCCGACAGTCAGGCGGCAGGCGTCTGCGCTAGTCACTGCCCTCCACGCCTCCGGGTCCCCAGCTCTAAGTTGGGTGAGGACAGCACCGCCTGCCAAGGCCGCAGGGGGGCACTGTGTTGTGGTTCCACGTCAGCCTGGCCCTGGTTCCCAACCAGGAACAGAAACAGACCAAAGTGGGGGAGGGGCACACTCGGGGTCTGGTGGGGTCCATGCCAGAACTAGTGACCTCGTGTAGGATTAGTGACCCAGAGGGGCCCCACCTGGAACTGCAGTGTCCAGACCACGCCCAACCTCACTCGTGGCCAGAGCCCACCCCGGCCATCTGGGCCTTGGACAATCGGCGTTCAATAAAAAGGCCTGGAGGACCATCAGGAAGGACGAGGCGTCCCCATCCCCACAGTGACACTCACTGCCCAGGAAGGCCTGAAGGCTGCCCTTGCGCATGAGCTCGGTGACGATGTACACGGGCTCACCCGCCGAGCACACCGCATGAAGCCGAATGAGGCGCTCATGCCGCAGGCTCTTGAGCGTTTGGATCTCCTGGGCCAGGTCCGCGAGCTTCACATCGCCTGCGGGACAGGGCAGTGTTCCAGGACCTGCCATAACCACCGCCACCCACCGCTACTGCCCTGGGCTCCGGGGTCCCACCCACCTGGTCTGATGACCTTGACCGCCACGGGCATGGAGCCCAGCCACAGGCCTTCCCACACCTCCCCGAAGTAGCCTTCGCCCAGCTTCCTCCGCAGGGTGAACTCCGAGTGGGGCCGCTCCCACTCGTCCTGCTCAAGGGACTTCTGCAGGGGTGGGAGCACTCAGGGCCTCTGCCTGTGGCTCCCTGAGCAGAGTCCATGGTTTCTCCTGGGGCCCCAGGCCTCCAGCTCTCTGCCCCTGTGCCCCAGCACACACTCGCCTCTGACCCTGCTCAGGGCCGGGGGCACAGGTGCTGACCTCTGGAGGCCTGGCCCTAATTGCTTCCGGACCTAAGTGGCACCTTTGCCAGTGCAGGCATCCACCCACACTCATTACTGTCCCATCCAGGCTGTCATTAAGAGACCAGAGGAACCAGATGGCTGCTCAGCCCCTGGCAGGACTGCTTGACTGGGATCATCACAGATACCATGGCTCCAGCACAGGTGTGGCCGTCCCGACAGGTATCTCTTCCCACAGCCTCCATGCTGGCCTGGGGCTGCTGTGGGTGCCATCCCCGGACACCTTCCCCAACCTGCCTCCCTCCCACTCTCCTGGTTGCTCCATGGCAGAGCTGGGCAGGAAGGGAGGCCATCTCACAGGCCTCATTCCCCTTCCCCCTCAGAGAAGAGAATGCCATAGGGATGAACCTGTGAGAGCAGACCCAACCCCAGGGCAGGGTCGCAGCCAGAGTGCAGAGGATTCACAGGAGCTTCACCCAGGGTTGAGCTGAGCCAGCTGGACATGTGCTGAAAAGTGTCACGGGCCTGGTGAGGGGCAGCCTGGCGGAAGGGGTGGGGATGGGCCCACCTGGGGTGTGCAGGGCAGGGGGGGAACAGGCGCAACTGGGGCGGGCAGGGCAGTGGGGGACGGGCCCACCTGGGGCATGCACGGCAGCGGAAGGGACGGGCCCACCTGGAGTGTGCAGGGCTGCAGCAGTGGGCTCTGTATCAGCTTCCAGTTGGCCTTGTAATATGCCAGCAGCTCATCCAGACTGGGAAAGAGCCGGTCCCTCTGCAGGTAGAGGCTGCCATCGGCTGCCGTGGAGATGCGGTAGTGGCAGACTTTGGTCTGGGCCCGGACTGGGAGGGTGCAGAGATGGAGACCCCGTCGTGGCTGCAGCCCTGACCCTCCCACCATCTCAACCAAGCGACCTGTACCATTGGGCCCAAGGTGGGCTGGGGGCTGGCACTCCCTGGGAAAGCCACCACCCCAAGGTCAAGGGCACCCTGGTACCTGACAGTGAGTAGTCCCCATGGCTGCTCTCGCTGGGCCGGACAAGGAAGGCTCCCGGTGCGTTGGGGGGGGACAGGAGCAGCTGCTGGGCCTGGGTTCGGCTGATGCCACTGAAGTACCAGCTGCAAAGGGCAGACACAGCAGTCCCCATACTGGCCCAGCCTGAGACACCCATGACTCCCATGGGTCGGGCCCCAGATGCCCACTCCATGCCGGAGGCAAAGAGAGGAACCTGGTGCCTGGTACTGGGGACCCAGTCCAGGGTCTGCACATGCCCCAGCCCCAGGGCCCAGCCTCTGGAGTCTGTGGGGACTGAGCACAAGGTGGGGGCCCCTAAAGAAAGGACTGGATAGACAACCTGGGAGGGGCTGCTGCTGGAGCCTGAGGTGAGAATGGGGCCTGAAAGAACAGGGGTAGAGACAGGCCTACTCTGGCACAGATAGACATCTGTGCCCACTCTGGTGCTCTGTGGGGAGTGGGCTAGCAAACAACATGGCCAGAGTGAGCAGTGGGGCTGGGCTGAGGCTGAGGCAGGATGGGGTGGGGCAGGGTGACGGTGGGAGAGGCAGAGGTTTGTTAGGAGGTAAAATCAGCGGACATCTGGGGAAGGGTCAGGGACCTGTAGGATGTGGTTCCCCCAGACAGACCCTGGGTGGACAGCAAGCTGGAGACACACTGATTAGGAAGCAGGAGGCCCAGACCCAGGCATCTGCGGGCTCCATCCACCGAGAGCCTCCTGCGGCCAGCCCCTGCCTTGGGGACCCTCTACCCAGGAGAGACTCTCATGTGGGGAGGGGCAACAGAGGACAGTCCCAGGGCAGCAGTGCTTCTACCTCCCCCGCCCCTGAACCCACATCAGGGCCTGGGGGGCAGGGCTGAACCCCCATGCACACCCAGACTTCTGATATGTTCTTGAACTCTAGGCCCTGGTTGCGGAGCAGTGGGTGAGATAAGCGTGGGGTGTCCTAGCATCTTGTAAAGTTGAGGGGTCTCCTCCTGCCTGGCTGGCCAGGGTGACAGGCAGCCAGGTGTCTGAGGGTAATGACACAGCAAATGTGGCAGCCCTTTCATCTGCAGCCCAGACAAACAGTCATTAGCTAGTCCTCCAAGCAGCCCTTCCCCTCCCCTGGACCCTGCCCACCTCCAGGAGCTGCTGACCCAGTCTGTCTTCCACCTGGAGGTACTGTGGGCCCCCTTCCCATCAGAATGGCTGGGGGTGGGGCTGGAGTACCCCTCCAAAGGCACCTTCCTGTGACTCAGGCTTTCCCCCAGATGTACATTTCCAGGAATCGGTGGGTGCCCCGGGGGTCCCCAGGATGCCACAGGTAGCCTGAGTGACATGAGACCTGCTTCTGGTCTGCAGAGACCCAGCTGGGTGCAGGACCTGGGGCCCATGTTAGGGCAAGGTCTGGGCAGCCTCCCTTTCCTAGCCCTGTTCACCAGCCAGTTTCTGGCCTTTCTCAGCCGGCATGTCATCTCTGTAGCACCAGGACTGGAAAGAGATGCCTCTGCCCCAAGGGTTCTCCAGGCATCCCCTCCTTCAAGAAGGCAGGGATGACAATGGCCAAGACATTCAGAGGAAAGACAGGTAGGGGCCATGCACAGAGTTTGGGTCAAAGGCCCATGTACTCTGTCCATAGCCACATAATGGGGACCAGCCCGGCACCAGCACACACTGTGTCTTGTGGACCCTGAGCCTGGGCCAAGAGGTCACATCCTCTAAGGAGCCTTCTGGGAGAGTGCCCAGCCTCTGCTCCCTGCCATGACCACACAACTGGCATGCAAACAGCCAAGGGTCCGTGTGAGCCACTCCTCATCTGTGGACTGCCCTGGCCCTAGGGGCCTCAGGCACTCAGGGGAATGGGTGGGCTCTCCCATCTGTACGCACTCCCCAAAGGAGCCTCTTTGGGAGCAATCCAAAGACCAGGGCCGTGTCTGCCCCATGCCTGGCCCAGAGCAGGAGAGAGGAGGCCAGGTGAATGTGGATAGGTGAGAGGGTGAACAAAGGCACAGCTCTGACCCAGCTTATCACCCCTTCCACACTGAGGTCACTATCTCACCCCTCACAGCACAAGGACGGCCTCTCTGCTCACTCATGTCCTTACCACCTCACTGCATCCCAGTCCTCAGCCCCCTGCCCCCAAGCAATGACCACTCAGCAAACACTGCTGGACACCAGGTCTGAATCCCTGTGTGCCAGCAGGCAGGCGTGGCAGGTACAGTATGCACACACTGTCCAGCATGCACACACCGTACCGCTGGCTCGCGGCCCCACCTAACCACTCCCGCCAGCGTCCCTGCCCCTTCCTCTCCTAGCGCAATAAGGCGCCCATCTTGCACACCATCCTGGTACCACACTTGTGGAACTTGCTCACCGCTGGATGGCGGGGCCTGAGGTGTGATGCTGGATGTGCAGGCCTCAAACTACCCTGCACTTATTACTGACTCCCTAGAGCAGGTGGTACTCACGGCTGATCCGAGAGCGTCTCAGGGGCCACCTTGGCCACGTAGGTGATGGGCACCAGGCCAGTGCGGGGCCAGCCCGAGAGTTTGCGGGCCAGAATGCAGCCGCCCTCCTCCCTGAGGGCGTGGAGCCTGTCCCCGCGGCTGACGCTCAGCTCCTCCGCGCGCCGCGCCGTGAAGTCGGACAGCGCCCTGAAGAGCTGAGCGGGCGCCGGGGGACTGCAAGGCTCCGCGGTACTGGGCTCCTCTGCGGCGGGCTCCGGTTCCAGGTCAGCGTCGGGGTCCGGGAACCGCGGCGCGTCGGTCGGCCAGATCTTGTCCCAGAAAAAGGAAAGGAACGCCAGCCTCTTCCTGAGGAAGGGCTCCATTCCGGGTTCTGCAGGGGGCGGAGGGAGCGCAGCGGCGGGGCTTCGGGACCCCGACGGGGAGACACTGGAGGGGCGGTGGGATGGAGAGCGCTGGAACGGGGTTGGGGGGGGCAGGCGCTCCAGAGACCCCGCCGGCTCCCTGCGGTGCTCAGAGCAGCGCTGGGTGGCCCTCCAGCGCCGGCCACACGACAGCCGTTGCTCTACTCGACCTCCAGGGTGTCTCGCCGGCAGGACTGGTCCCCAACTGCTTTAAGTCTCGTGAAGGTGGGGAGGGCCCAGTCCCGGGACAGGCGTCAGGGCGGGGTCCCAAAGTGGGGCCGTGATGGGCGGGGCCTCAGAGTTGGGCCAGTGGTGGGCGGGGTCTCGTGAGCTGCGGAAGGTGAAGCGGGGAGGTCCCTGTGGGGAAGGGGCAGTCTGCGTTTTGACGGTCAAGCTCACTCTCGTGGTGTGATCTTGTAGCACAGTTCTGCAAGCTGGTCCCCTCAGGAAACGGGCAGAGGATACTTGGGATCTTTGTGTTATTTCTTAAAATTGCAGCTGAATCTCAAAATTGAAAGTTTAATTTTAAGAAAATAGCTGAGAATGAGAAATTTAAAAAAAAAAAAAAAAGGATGGAGTCACAGATGGCAGAGGTGAGGACCTGCCTGACCCAGAAGAGGAGGGGAGACTGCTCTGTCCCCCACACTCTCTCTGTGGGTGGGCTGCACGGGTGGACGGTCTTACTTTCGCTGCTTTTCATTCCCTTCCCCACTTTCCAGCTCCCCGCCTCTCCCTCAACTTTGAGACAGCATCCCCTTTCCAAATAATTCAACTATTGCTTCTTAGACCCCTAAATAACGACATAACAACAGCTACAACACATAGACTAAGTGCCCAGGGCACCCCCCACCCCCACACGGTGATGGGCGCTTAACCTGGCAAAACCTCCTCCCGTGAGTGAGGTCACCAGGAGGGGTGGAGGAGGGGCACCGTGGAGAGGGAGGCTCTGCCAGGGGAGGGGAATTCAGAGACAGACACCCTGTGCTGGAAGGTACCCACCATTGACCTGCAAGGGGGTGGAGGCAAGGGCCCTTCCTTGACTTAAGGAGGCTTCCGGGTCGCGACCGGGAACGCGCCCCCGCAATCTTCCCGAGTCGAGGGGGCCCGATCCCCACACTATGGGCTCTCCGCCCACCCCGCCGTCTGGGCGGAGCGTCACAAAGAACCGCGGTCCCCATGGCAACCCGCGGGACGCCGCGATGCGAGGCTAGGCGCCCCTGGTTCCGTGCGCTGCTCCGGAGGCAGGGCAAGTGGGCGCGCCGGGAGGCGGGCGAGGGGGGTGGAGGACGAGGGGAGTGTGGCAGAGGTGGGCAGGCGGGGGCGGGTAGGGGTCGGTTGAGGGGAAGTGGGCCCAGGGCCAGGGGCGTGTAGGGGGGTCCGGGAGGCGGAGGAGGGTGTAGGTCTGGGTAGCGGGCCAGGGCAGGCAGCTTCTTTCCTGAGTTTACCAGCAACCACTCCTGGCTTTCTCAACGGAGAAACTGGGGCCGTCTGGAAGCACCTCTGACCTGTAGCCCTACCTGGAGCTAAAGCTCCCTCCAGAGGCGGCTTGAATCTACCCCAGTCTTGGGCCACTGGACCACTGAAGGGCACAGGCCAGCAATCCTGGTCCTGGTCTGTTGCACCTCAGCCCAGACATCGGTGCTGCTGTGCCCAGGGTTGGGTCTGCCGCCTCCATCCCAGGAAGGTCAAGTACTGGCAAATGGGGAGGGAGACCGACTTGGGTCCCAACCTCACTCTGCCCCTTGGGACTCTCATTCAGCCTGTCAGCTCCCATTTGTACCTCATCCAACTTTCTGGGTGCTGCACAACCTCAGACCTCCCAGTGAAACCACTGGGTCTGTCTTGCTGTCCTTGGGGGTGGCTGGGACCTGGGGCAGCAGCCAGGAATGCTGACCCCCTTTCTCCAAGGAGCCCCAGCCTTGTGGTCAGGACCTGCCAGGGCTGGGAGCATAGCTATGCCCAGCTCTGGGGCACACTGGGCCCTCCTACAGTGGGGAACCTGGGTGGAGGAGAGGTGCAGGAGGAGATAGACTCTGGGATCTACCGTGCGCTTAAAGCCTGGATTGAGAGCAAGCTACCAAGTGTTCTGGGCTCAGGCACCCCATCTGTGAGCAAGGGGACCGTTCAGGGACTTTTCTTATGGGCTCAGAAACATCCTGAGGCCCCAAGATACAGCAGGGCTCCATAACAAGGAACTGGACTGATTGCTCCTCAGAGCTGAGGCCACCTTGCCTGCTGGGCTGGCCCTGGACCTCTGCTCTGCATCTGCAATGGGCTGTGGACGGTCTGCAGGACAGTGGGGTCCCCAGCTGGGGTCTGGTGCTGCTCAGACAGGATCACACTGAATCCTGTCAACAGCTGCAGGGCAGCGGTGTGACCCCATTCCAGATGGGGCTACACAGCTAGGCAGTGGCTGGACTTTCCAAAGCACAGGCCCGATGCCCCCGTCTCAGCCCTTCCCTGAGTCATCACAAAAGACCATCAGTAGAGTGTCGGCCCTACAGTGTCCACTTTTATCCAGATCTGCAGCCTGCCCGCCTGGCCCTCCAAGCAGCCTCTGTCCAGAGAGATGAGCCCTCCTCATGAGTCTCCTCCCACTCCCGGAGGCCAGAGGGCCCAGCATGGGGGCCAGTGGGACTGAAGTCACACCACACAAACACTGCCCTGAGTGGGCCCTGGGTGGGCTGCAAAGGCCAGTATGAGCATTCTATTCACGCCCTGCCCTCTGTCCCCTGCTCCTAGACCATGAACTTCCAGGTGACAGGCCTGGGCCTGGACAAAATGAAGCTGGACAGTCCCCAGTCCTTCCTGGACCAGGAGGAGGTGGAAGAGGCCGAGGATGGGCAGCTGCTGGAGCCCGAGGCTTGGCGAACCTATGTGGAGCGCCGCAACGCTCTGCAAGAGTTCCTGACTTCAGACCTGAGCCCCCACCTGCTCAAGCGCCACCACGCCCGTATGGAGCTCCTCAAGAAGTGCTCCTACTACATCGAGATCCTCCCCAAGCACCTGGCTCTGGGCGACCAGAACCCACTGGTGCTGCCCACCACCATGTTCCAGCTCATTGACCCCTGGAAGTTCCAGCGCATGAAGAAGGTGGGCGCCGCCCAGACCAAGATCCAGCTCCTGCTGCTTGGGGACCTGCTTGAGCAGCTGGACCACGGCCGCTCTGAGCTGGATGCCCTGCTCGAGTCGCCGGACCCTCGGCCCTTCCTGGCAGGCTGGGGGCACGTGGAGCAGCGCCTGGCGGACCTGTCGGCTGTCATGGACAGCTTCCTGGCCATGATGGTGCCGGGGCGCCTACACGTCAAGCACCGCCTAGTGTCTGACATTGGTGCCACCAAGATTCCCCACATCCGGCTCATGCTGAGCACCAAGATGCCCGTCATGTTTGACCGCAAGGAGTCGGTGGCCCACCAGGACTGGGTTAGCCTGCGCTGGTTTGTCACCATCCAGCAGGCTGTGCCGGAGCAGTTTGAGCTGCGCTACAAGCTGCTGGATCCACGGACACAGCAGGAGTGCATGCAGTGTGGCATCATCCCCGTGGCCACCTGTGCCTTTGACATCCGAAACCTGTTGCCCAACCGTGCCTACAAGTTTACTGTCAAGAGGGCGGAGAGCTACACACTGGTGTATGAGCCCTGGAGGGACAGCCTCACCCTGCACACCCGGCCAGGGCCCCCCGAAGGGCCCGCCTCCTGTTGGCTGGGCAAGCTGGGCCCGTCCCTGACCGCACCTTCCGAGAGATGATTTTCTAGTATTTATCCACTAATAAAGAGGAGTATAAACACACATACACAATTAAAGAAACAGACTTACTTATGTTTTAGAGGCGGCAGCAGCCACATGAGTGTTTTTTCCTGACTCAGCACAGCCCACCCATGAGTCCCAGCCCCTTCAGCTTCTGCTCCCTTTTCTGGCGGGGAGCCCCAAGGCTGGCCTTTGCAGGACACTGACCCCTGTAAACAAGCCTCAGCTTGTCTGGCACATGGCTGCCACCATCAGTGGTGAGAACGGCTCCAAGGCTCTGGCACCTCCGCCACAGCCCCTCCCACGTGCCCCCAGCTCCTTCCCATCACAGTGAGCAGCCATGTGACCTGGGCACAGGCTCTGGCCACCTTTCTTGCCTCCTAGGCTGGGGTTCCCCAAGGGGGATAGATACCCCCAAGTCCTGCCCAAACCTCATTGGGGGCAGTCATGGCACTGTTACTATCGTGCCTGTCAAGGCCAGGGGGCCCAAGGCCAAGAGCACATTTTATTTTGTTTATAATGAACATAAAAGTATTATCTTCTCCCCCAAAGAAGCTGAAGTTCATCTGCACCTCCATCCTTAGGTGAATGAGGATCCTAGCAAGGGAGACTGGCAGGATACCCTGCCCAGATCCAGGCCAGTGGGCAACCGAGAGAGTCTGTCCTCGCCTTCCAGTGCGGTCAGCTCGGCCAGCAGCTTGCTGCTGCTTGTGCACATAACCACTTCGTGAGGGTGAGGAGGATGCCGGCGGCTACCTGCTCTGGCAACTTGGTCCTGCTCAGGTCTAGGAGGAACGGCACCGTGTACCCTGGCTATGGCTGAAGAAGACTGAAGGCCCAGAGCTGCCCCCAGTACATGGCCAACCAGCCTTCCGTCGCCCACCGCTCACACCAGAGCAGTCATTAGGACTTCAGACCCCTGGGAAGATATGGTGTAGCCAGGGCTAGGGGGTCAGAAACAAAGCCCCTGCCCTACTGAAAAGCGGTTTGGTGAGAGAGGGGACTTCAACTGGGTAAGAGGGCCCAGCACCACCCTCCCTCCCTAGATATGGACAGTGTCTTCTGCAGGGTTGGGGTGTCTTCACCTAGGGCTCCCCTCCCAGATCTCTCCAGGCACCTGCTTGCTGCCGCGTACCAGCCAAGGGTTCAGCCAGACTGTCACGCGGTCTGTGGCATCATGTGGCTATGGTAGGGGGAGGGGGACTCCCTCCTGGGTGTCCTGCAGATGGAGTCACCCCAAGGTTCCCAGGGATCCAGAGCAGTGGAGAGTGGGGCATGGGAATGAGAAGCCTAGAGGGGAGAGGAGGAGGGGCCAGCCAGGGGACCTGAGTGGGGGTTTATGCTGGTCATACTGATCCAGAGCCCAGAATACTGGGGTGAGGGCTCGCCAAGAGAATGCATGGGTTCTGAGTGGCTGGCCTTCCGGGGTCCACGGCTCCTTCCCTTGGCCCCTCCTAGGACCTTCCTTATGGTGCCACTGCAGGTGCCAGGTTGTAAGTGACCCACAGCACCCTCCCAGTGCAGCCCTGGAGGTCAGGGCACAGGTCTGCGTCTGCCCCGACCCTCGTGCCTGAGGCTTTCTGCCTCGCCAGCTTCTCTCTCTAGATCCGTTCGCTGCCCTGCACTCACAGCTCCAGGCTTCAAACTGCACCTGGGACTTGAAAGCACAACCCTCACCATGGTGAGGCCCACCGTCCACCCTCTGCCCATGACCCTCTCTCACACCACCTCTCCAAGCAGTTGCCTGACTGTGGAACTGAGGTCCTCGGGGCTGCAATGCCTCTTCCTCCTGGAAGCCCTCCCTGATTGCAGGCTGAGGAGGGGTTGGCTCCATGCCTCAGTGATCTGGAGGGGCTGCAGCCCCAGCTGACCCAGCCCTCTCTACCACACCAGGCTTGATGCCTGTGCACCCTGTCGGCCTGGCTGTGCCTCAGTCCAGCTGCACATCCCTCTTGACCATGCAGACTGGAGACCAAAGCCAGTGCATACCGTCTGCCGAGACTGGGGTTCCAGCTGGGGCCTCGCCAGAGCCCACGTCCTTCCTGGACACACAGGGAGGCTCACTCCTGAGACCAGAGGTTCATGTCCACACTTCTGGCCTCTGGGCCTCGAATCTCCACCTGCAACTTGCCTGCCACCTTTCAGGGGAGGTCCACTCCTGGCTGCATGGCTCAATGGGTGTCCGCAGGATCTACAACGTTAGGAGGGGATTGGTCTCTGATGGAACGTTTCCTGCGTGGTGGATGCTGGGCTGCCGGGGAGATGTTCCTGCCTGGAGAACATGTAGAGCACTGGACACAGCCACTGCCAGCTTCAGGAGAGGGCTGGGTGGAGGACAGGGGTCCCAGGATGACCACCCCTGCACCTGCAGTCAACTGGTCTTAAAAGGGCACCAAGACACAGAAAGGACAACCTTCCCAACCGAGGGTCCTCAGACAGATAAACGAAGTCCCTGACTCACCCTCACAAAAATTAACTCGAGAGGATCATCTCAATGTCAAAGCTAAACTATATTTTCTACAAAAGAGATGAAATCTTCATAGCCCTGGGGTAGGCAAATGTTTAAGAACATGAAAACCCCTAAAAAAGTCAATAAACTGGATTTCATAAATATCCAACATGCCTGCTCTTCAACAAATGTCAGTGAAAATAAAGGCAAGGTGTTGACTGAAAGAAAATATTCAAAATACACAAATTTGAGAAAGAACTGTAGTTTCTTAATAATTCAGTAACTTGGGACCTCCCTGGCAGCCCACTGGTTGACTCCGTGCTTCCCCTATAGGGGGGACTGACTTCGCCCCTGGGTCAGGGGAACTGAGATCCACTATCAGTTTGGAACTGTAAAGGAAGAAGCTGCAGGTGCCCTGAGTCAGGGTCCTCGCCTGGTTCAGGTGCTGGGTGCAGTGGTCCTTGCTGGAAATCCATCCACTCACTACCCTTCATCACAAGATACAGACACAGTTTATGAAAAATGTTTTTATTTGAAATCAAAGTACCAAGCAGATACTTGCAAAACAACGTACAAAGTAGAACTCAGAGGTGTCCCTTGACCAGGCTGCCTCCGAGTCCCCCAGATCCAATCCTGCCTCCCGGAGCCCGAGCCCGGAACAGCCCCCCGCATGCCTGATGGGGGGAAGGGTGGGGCGCTGACAGCGAGATGGCCCGATCCCCACACTGGGCTGAAGGTTCCTGGAGGACAGTGGGCCCCTTCCCACACCTGGAGCTCCGCCCCCAGGCACCGTGTCTGGGAGCAGCCATCACGGTTCTGTCTATATGGCTCTGAAACAAACTTTCCACCCAGTGCCCCATGGCCGGCGGGCAGAGGCAGCTTTTCAGGGCGTAGCAGGTCTGAATGGTCAAGGTTCCAAGCACAAGATGCCAGTTTCACTAGCAACACGTTCTGATATGATCTGAGCCGGACGCGGGACTGGCTGAGGTGCCCCGTCCATAGGCTCAACTGGGTGTATCAGAGACGCGCCTGGAAGAGGAGCGTCTAACAAACAAGGAAGTGACACTGTGCTGAAACCAGCACGCCCGAAACGGCAGACGACCAGACATGACAGAAACAAAACAGCCTCAGTGAGGACGCTGAGGTGGGTCCAGGGGACCTGACGGACGGAAGGACGAATGGACGGAGCCCAGTTCCCTTCAAAGTGCAAGGCGGGCAGGGGCTTCTCTCTGGGTCTCCACAGGTGTCAGATGGACAGGAGGCCCAGGGTGGCCGTGGGTATCCCCACCTGCAGTGGCTCAAGGCCTGCAGAGCAGCCCCTCCCTGGTCTTTCCAAGTCCAAGACCAGAAAAGCAGAGGGCCGGCCAGCCCACGGACACCCTCCCCACAAGCACCTGGGTGCCACCTCATCCATGCTGGTCCCAGATGCCTTGGGGCACCAGTGTCAGCCAGTGGGGTGCAGCCCACCTCTGGGGGGGCCCACCAGCATGGAGCTGAGCCCGGAGTTGAACATCAGACCATGAGCCCCAACCCGAGGCATGTCCCCACTGGACGTGGAGTGACCCTGGTCGTTCTCTCCATGTGTCCTCCCCAGGAAAAGTCACAGGGCACACCTGCCTCTTGCCCCCAGGGCCATCCCAACCATCCCTGTGTAGAAGACACTCCTGAAACCAGAGCAGATCAGGGAGCCCAGGCACTCTGCCTCATTTAGGTTGAAAACACGATAAACGTGACTTTTTGTTGGAGCCTACTAAGGGGTTCACTTAGAAACACCCACAGAGCATGTGCAATGGCCCCTGAGCATCTGTGGGCAGGGATTGGGGGGGGTGTTCTGGCCTGTGCTGCTTGGACCCCTGGGTCCCTGTGGCCAGGCGGGTGTCCCAGGGCCTGCACCCCAACCCCCGGGGGCCCTGGAGGCCCCTGAGCCACGTGCAGACCTGCAGCACCACTGATGCTTATGCCAGAGACAGGAGAGCAGAGTGCTGGCCACACTAAACCTACAGAAAACTGTGGGAAGAAACCAAATCCATAGGATCCATGGGTTTCCACACTTGGGGACAGTTCCCAAGACACGTGTTAGTAACGGGCTCCCCAGCTATGGGCCGAGGCCCTGCCCCTGCCCTGCCCCTGCCGCCAGCTGCATTGGACCCCTGGCCCCCCACCTGGCTCCTCACCAAGGCCCCACGTGTAAACAGTATTAATAAGCAACAGATGGAAAAATATATTTCCCAGGAAAACAGGGGAGGAGGTTCAGAGCTCAGAGCCCCACATCCCAGGCTGCTTCCACGTCCCTTGCCTCTCCTCTCTTCTCCGTCTGTTTTGGCGTTTCCTCTCTTTGGTTCAGCAGCCCCGCGTGGCCCGTGGGCACCGGCGCTGTGCCCCTGCAGCCTGAGGAGAGGCGGCCAGCCCAGTGCCCACATGGGGCCTCGCCTTCCACTGGCTGCTACTTGTGCTCATGGCCCTCCGCCATGGTGGCCACCTCAATGGTGGCTGTGTGCTCCTCAGGTCCCGGGGCAGCCACGGCACTCTCGACAGTCCCCGTGGGCACCGTCACGATGGTGCTGCCCCCGGGCGACACCTGGGCCACGTTCTGTAGGGTGGGGCCCAGGCCGGGCAGGGTGAGCAGCTGCAATGGGCTCACCACCTTGACCACAGTGCTGCCGTCCTGCATGGCGGCCGTGCTCAGGACCGTGAGGCTGGACGCGTCCGGGTGGATCTCCACCGTGTTGGGGAAGGTGGTGCCGGAGGAGGCCAGCACCGTGTAGCCGCCAAGCAGCGGCGAGGCGGGGGAGCTGGCTGGAGCGGCCTGGGGCGCAGCCTTGCCCAGCACGGGGGAGGGCAGGGTGGACACCACTTTGCCCAGCGGCACACTGGTGAGCTGGGAGACGGGCACGCCGGGGGTCAGGGCGATCTGGGCAGACTGGGCGAGCACCTGCGAGGCAATGGCGGCCGGCCCGGACGTGGCCCTCGCGAGCCGCGGCCGCTTGACAGGGGGCGGCAGGGAGACCGGCGTGAGCGTCATAAGCACATTGCTGAGGTGTTGTGACTTGTGCTTGAGCTCTTTGGCCCGCCGGCGGTGCTCGTCACACTGCTGCTCCAGGGCTGCAGGGCAGGCACAGGGCGTCAGACCACCCACCACCGCCAGACAAGAGCCTGCACTGGCCTGGGGCCTGACCTAACGTGCTCGTGGGGACGCTGTCTGCAGGGCCTTCTCTGCAGGGGACCCGCTGCTCTGAGGAAGCAGCAGAGAGCAGCTGGCTCAAGCCGCCCGACTGGGGCAGCCTTCCCTGTTCTGTCATGTACTCTGCTCATGCTAACGTTTGCAGGCAAGCTGCCTGGTTACAGAACCAGCCTGCCTCACATACACCCACAGGCAACTCCTGGGAAGGAGCCACCTCACAGGCAAAGCGTGGGGTCGAGGGTGAATCCCTCGATTCTGGGGGAGGTCTGGCTGGGGCCGTCCCAGTGTCATCCACCCCGTGCCTGCCTCTGCACACCCAAGCACCTGTGGGCACAGCCGAGGCCAGTGTACCTGCCAGGTCACGGGCATACTGCTCCCGAGAACGGTCCATCTGACACTTGTGGCTGGCCAGCACCTTCTTCACCAGGTCCAGCATGCCGAAGTTTTGTACAATGTTGTTGAGGAGGACGGCGTCTACATGGGCAGGGCAGGCAAACCGTGAGAATGGGCTGGCCTACAGCAGGTCTGGGGCATTCCATGCCACCTGCTGAGGTGCAGGACCAGGTGCAGCAGGTCTAGGGCTTGGCTTCCTCCCAGCAACAAGGAGGGATCCAGAGGGAGCAGGCTAACTGCCCACCCCTGCCAATGCTGCTGGGCCAGCTCGGAGCCAGAAGAAGCAGGTTACACTCACCAGCATCCAGAGGCCACCCCTACCACGCCGAGTCAGAAGAGGCCTTGGGGCCCACAGACCAGGGCAGACAGACGGCTCACCTCGGAGCTGCAGGGGCGGGTCCTGCACCCGCTGCTGCAGGCCCTTCATGGTTTCCACCAGCTCCTGGTGGAACTCTTGTATGACCTCATCCAGCAGGCCTGCGTCCTTCAGCCCCCGCCAGAAGGCGAATGTATCATCTGAGACGGAAGGAGGGGCTCAGAGATAGGGAGTCCTGCATAGGCAGCCCCTCTGGTTCTATCACAGGGAGGAGTAAAGAACTGCCAGGAGGACACAGCTCTGGGGGAGACTTGTGAGTGTTTCCCCCACCCCAACCACAAGTGGGAGTCCAGTGGGTCAGCCCTGTGCATCCACCAAGACAATGCCCGGCAACCCACAAGTCCCCAGGGCGAAGCCAGCAGCAGGCGGGAGCCCCACCCCCCAGCAAGAAGCCTAGGGAGGCCCGCACCTCCAACGGCTGTGGTCCAGTCCCCTGGGTCCTCGCAGGTCTCGATGGTGATGGTTGCAGGAGCCCCATTCACTGCAAACAAGATGAGCTTGGTGAGCCTTTCTGGCGACAGGCCAGCATCCCACCCGTCACAGTACCCCACTCATACCCCCCACTTTCAAAAAATTAATTAACGTGTATAAGCACAACAGACGATCCACACATTATACATTCACTGCTAAATATGGACAAAGAAGGACCTAGAAAATGTCTCCTCAAAGCTGTGCCCATGTCCTCAATACTCTGCTGTCCTTGTCAGTTATGACGAGTCTTCATACCTACCGGCCAGGGGCCACAATCCAGCCTTCCTGCCTGGCCCGTTCTCAGCAGCCCCTCAAGTCTCTGTTTCATTGACACTATTGTCTGTCTCAACAGCTACCACGTTTCCTTCTTGTAAATCAGAAGAGGTGGAACTCTGAGAGGTGTAAGCCACCCAGGCTGGTTCACCTGTCTCTAGTGTCTTCAGAGTCCTGGGTACGGTCTGGATCTGGCCATTTGGGGCTTAGGAACAAGCACAGCATCCTAACTTCTGGCTGAGTTTTCTGACCTCATGCCGGCCTTTTCCACATCCGACAAAGATATCAGGCTGGAGAATGTCAGATGCTTGAAATAGCTTTTTCATAGTCTGGACTGATATAGAACCTTTAACTACACAATAGGTAACTCTGGTGGTCTGAGAACTCTGGCTGAAGCAACCACCACGGAGGTAAGTTTAAGTAAAGCAACAGATTGTCCAAACTATCTAGAGACAACAGAATTCTAAGAGCTAAATCCCAAACCCCATGTGGCCTTTACTGGACATGGCACTCTGACTGGAGGCTCAGTGTTCAGAGCCTTCTTGGAGACCAGCCACTGCGGCCACCTTTTACAAGGCAGAGAAGAGTGTGAACCCAATCATCCAGAGGAGGTCCTGTTCCCACAGAAGCCACCAGCCCACCAGGAGTGGTGTCCCCCTGTTTCTCCTGAGGGCAGGGGCCTTGCCATGACCCAGCCCCTCCCACACTGTGTCATGCTGTCCCAGGGCCAGGCCACCACCCAATAACTGCGAACAGTGACCACTGGATGAGGAAAGAGTCAACAAGGGCCAGTCCCAACTGCTGGCAGCCTGCACATTCCTGGATCTCCCAGAGGACTCCCCAGTTTAGCTGGCTGCCAGTCTGGGCAGGTAGGGTACAGCGACTTATTCAGGGTGAACTCCAGGAGCTCTCTATGCCCCCAAGCCTCCCCTCCAGCTTCCCAAGAGAAGGACAAGGCCTCTCGACCAACCACTGTCTGGTCAGCCGTGAGGACAGTCCCTGGCCACATGGCAGCAGGCCCAGAGTGACCAGTGGAGCAACAGCTGAGGGGCAACCTAATTCCCATCATGGGAAAGGTAGCACCACCAAGTTACTAGTGGGCAACATGAACAGGGAAACTGGGACCTGATTTCACTCCAACTTGTTTTAAAAAGAATCTCTGTGCTCAAACATCTGGAAATAATCCCAGGGAACATGGAGGCCTTCTACCAGTTAAAGCACTATAAACACAGCAACTCAAGTGGCAGGGAGCACACACAAGCCCAGACCGGTGCTGATGGGAGAGGCTCCAGGGCAAGGGTAGAGGGCGCTCCCCAAAACAGGCAAAGCTGGTGGTGGGCACTGGACGCTGGCCCTGTTAATCTTCATGCTCTTCTCCACCTATGAATCATTGTATTTTATATATAATAAGAATGGCTTAAGAAAATAAAGTCCTTCAATCTTCCCTGTAGGTACAATAGCAATTCAGCTAGATTTCCTCGGTGAGGAAGGAGGAGGTGGGTGCAAACCACTGGGGCCCAGAAGGGACAGCTAAGTTGACTGCAGGCTCCACTCAAGCAGCCAGCAGCAGAGGGAACCCAGCACGTGGTACCTACCATCAGCGGTGGCCGGCGTGAGCGGGATGTACTCGGTGGGCGTGGGACTGCCCAGGGACGCGCGCGCCCCAGAGAGGTCGATCTTGGTGCTGCGGCAGGTGTTGGAGCAGACCCTGTCATGCTGGTAGAAGTCCAGCTCCCCAGAGTCCATGATCTTCCTGCATGGAGGAGGATGGGCGTCACACGGGGTGATAAGGCTGCGGAGGCTCAGGGCCTGCCTGTGCTCCACCCCAGCACCACTCTCTCAGCAGCGTGGGGATGCCTGTGTGTGGCTCTGTCAACGAGGAGTGCGACCACAGCGGCTGGTACCCAGAGGGAGGCAGCTATCCCGGAGACTTCAGTCAGCACCGAGGGCTGGCCCTCTTTGAGAGAGTGGCCACAGTACTCCCTGATGGAAGGTCCCTGGCCAGTCCTGTGCAGGCCCCACTCCCTCCGCCCCGCCCCACCCCACCCCGGCCCCGCCCACCTAAGCATGATGCCGTTCATCCGGATGGCTCGCTTCCAGTCCTTCAGGGTGGACTTGCCGGCCAGGTGCACAAACTCCTTTGGGCTGATGACGTGCTCATCGTACTGTGGACAGAAGAGCAGAGCAGGGTCAAGAGCACCTCCCCGATGCCCTCCTCTCTTGCCTGACCCTCTGTCCAGGGCCAGCCTGGGAAAGACGGTGGATGGCAGGGCAGCCACCGTGGAGGCGGACATCCAGGATTTAGCCACTGGCAATCTTGACTGAGGTGGGAGGAAGAACCACCAGCTGAGCCAAGCCTGATGCTTGAGCTGCAGGACCTGAGTGAGGTGCTGGCCCTATCCTGCTCCAGTGGATGGTCAGGTGCTGCCCCTAGCAGGGAGGGAGCTGGGAGCTCGGTGCTCTCCCTCAACCAGATACCCAGTGCCTGGGACCCGGGGAGCCCACCCCACTCTGAAACGCAGGGCGCTCTCTCCCTCTGGACAGGAAGCAGCAAACTTTCTTGTATGTAACTTATTCCACAAATAACATTCACATACAGTCCATCAAGTAACAAGAGACAGTCACAGGGTCAGCTGTGAACACCCCTTCAGCTCGCCTGGCCCAGCCCTAACAGCACCCTTCATGGCACAGGAGCACATGCCCAATTCAAGTCAGGGAACTGCCCTCCCTCCTTGCGCATCTGCTAGTTTCACCCAAATGTGGCCTGAGAAGGTGAAGTATCCAACTCAGTCTTGTAGAACAAGCATGCACTGGAACCGAAGAACCAACACACAACTGCATTTACATAGAACACAAGCAGGGGGTTTGGATATGTCACAGTCGCAGCAGAGGCAGAAACAAAAGCTCCAACATGGCCTGGACACATGGCTGAACCTGGCCAGGGTGCCAGATGCCCCGGGGCCTCCCCTCCCCAGGGCCTCCCCTCTCAGGGCAGCTGCCCTGACGGGCCCTGCAGTCTGTCTCGGGTTGGGTCCAGGTTACCCTGCCACTAGAGCAAAACTGCCTCAGCTCACGTACAAGCCACACCTGCTCTGTCACACTCCACAAAGAGTACATACTCTACAAATTGAAGGCTTGCAAACACCCTGTCTCAAGCAAGCCTATCGGTGCTGTTTTTCAACAGCAGTTGCTCAATTCATGTCTCTGTGTCACATTCTGGTAATTCTCCTAATATTTCAAACATTTTCATTAGTTACGGTGATCTGTGATCAGTGATCTTCAATGCTACTTCCACGACTCCGAGAGCTCAGATGATGGTTACCATTTTTAGCAATAAAGCTAAAGACATGTACGCTGTTTTTAGACACAATGCTATGACACCACTAACAGAGCACGATCCAGTGCAACTATAATTTTTATATGTGCTGGGAAAACAAAAAATGTGTGTGACTCTCTATTGCAAGGTGGCCTTCTCCAAGGCTGCCTGCAACCAGCCTGGGAAGCCCTCTTGATGGAAGCAACTTTCCTGACTTCCTGAGCCTGAGCACTGTCCCTCCAAGCCAGGAAGCCACTCTACCCCTTGCCTTGGTTGGTTGGGAGCCACCTCTGAGCCCAGGAAGGCAGGGATAGTCAGCACCCTCTCTGGCTACTCCCCAAGCATAGAAAGTCCATGCTGGACCCAAAGTGCCCCCCAACTACGTGATGCCTTCTCTGGCGCTGCCCCCACCTGACACTGCAGCACCACCTGATGGCCTACTTCTCCCTTACATCCTGCCACCACTTTCTGTCCCGCCTCCCTCTGAGGAACCAGGTTCTCCTCTATTGGTTGGGTAGGTGTGCTCCACACTCAGGGTGTGCTAACTGGTCCCTCTCACACCTGTCTGACTGTACTGACTGCCCTGTCTCTCCTCTCCTTAATCTACAGGAGCATCTCAGACTCACCATGACTTCCTGATCTCAACATCTGGGAAGCATGCAGGTCTGTTTCTACAGACAAAGATAGCATCCCTCAGTTTGTGTCTGTCTGATACCTTCCTGAGCAGAACCAGGTTGTGTGTGTCAGGAAATGCCACAGAACCCCTGCCCACTCCATCAGGAGGCTGTGGCGGAAACTGGCCCAACACTGATGCCCAAACATCACCACTCATTTAGCGGGTGATCTACAGGCTTCACCCTCTGTAAGCAGCACCTTAGTGATGGGGGTACCTGGAGACCAGCTTCCCCTGACTAGATGCAGCACCTCCTCACAGCGCTCTGGCTCCAGCACTCCATCTATGTTTGCTAGTTGGCATAGTTTTAACTCTTCCTTGTTTGATGTAAATAAACAATATGAAATATACTGCAACAAATATGGGCAGATAGATTCTTATTTTTACTTGAATTATAATCCATGACCATCATTCATTATTCTGATGCTAAAATGTCCCAGAGCTAGTGTAAGGTCCTTTGCACTGGCACCTAGTGTAGATTTCAAAATGTGAAATTTTGAACGTATTTGTTCAGTTTGGGGTGTGTTAAGTTTCTTGAACTGCGGGTGGCTGTCTTTGCTGGGTTATGAAAGTTCTCAGACCCACTCTCCTCTCAGAAGTCAGATAGATACGTTAGACTTTCTTGTGCTTCCATTTTCCCTTATGATGCTTCGCTAGGTAGTTGTCTCGATAACTTCACTTCTGTCTTCCAGTTCACTGATTATCTCTTCAACTGTATCTAATCAGCTGTAAATCCACCCATTTAGTGTTTGATTTTAATTCTGTTTTTCATTTCTAGTTTTTTTCATATCTGCTTATGCTTTATTCATGTTTGAGTCTCCTTTTTATTTCTTGAAGTAATTAAACATAAATTAAACATCATTATTTTATATTTCGTGTCTCAGAACTCCAACCTGTAGTATTTGTGGGCCTTATTTTGCTGTCTGTGGATTCTGTGTGCACTCACTCAGGTGCTATGGTTTCCTTGTGTGCTCAGGGTTATGTTCTGTGTTACTGTGAGCTGCTCCTCTTTTTGGAACTTTGTCTGCCAAAGTTACTTGAAACCTGAGATAAAGGTGAGTTCTTTGAAAAAAGATTTCTCATTTTGTTTTTGTCAGATTCCTGGGGGAGTTGTGAGCCAGGAACCATCTGACAACTAAACTCTTAGCTAAAGGTATTCACACTGTACAGGCCACATGTGGCTCCTCAGGAGAGTCCTTACTCCACCTAGTGCTGATGTGGGAGGGGCATTTTCCTTGTGCTGGGGGTAGGGGGGCTGGGAGAATGTGATCAGCATGTTTTCTAGCCCCCAACATTGAGGGTGGAGACCTCTGGAAGTAGCAGCATCACAGGGACAATCACTACCCCAACAACACACCCCAGCTGGGAGCCCTGGGCTTTGGCTCATCTCCTGCCCACAAGGCTGAGAAACCAGTGTCAAGCAAAAGTTAGCTGCCCTCTACAATCAACCTTTACTCAAGTCCTGGGCCTACTTCCTCCTCTTTTGCCAGCTTAAGGAGGCATCTTCTAGATGCCTTAAGTGGCATTTTTAGCTGTTTCCAGCACAAGGTGAGTGGGTACCTAAGCCACCATGCTGCAGGAAAAGCAGACCTCTCGCCTGTCCACCTCACCCATGGCTGCTAATGAGTCTTTGCAAAGCAGCTCCCTTGTTTAAAGTGCCCGACAGAGTCAGTCCAGGAAAGGAACTCACTGCCCTGAGGCTCTCTCATGCCCTGGTGATAGCCTGTTTGTCCCTGAAGCCTGCTTGTCTTCTGCTCTCCCAAATATGGGATTTCTGCCTCCTGAACTCCCCACCAAGGTCACAACCCTGCCACTGGGGTCTCCTTTTGTTTGCTTTGTAGCTGCGGCCCTGGGAGTCCCTCCCTGCAGCCTGGCTGCATGGGAACTCTTACCTGCACACACTTCACATTGATACCGGGGCATACAAACTTCCTCCAGATCAGGTTGGCCCTGCTGTCCCCGCAGGTGATGGGGTACACGATCTCTGCCTCCAGGCTCTCCTCTTCTTCAGCCATCTTCACTTCTCACCAGGTGTGTTGACAGGGAAAGGGGCAACACAGAAAATCAGTTACAACTTCTCCAAAGCATTTCCTGCAAAAGTACAAGGTTAACTACCTTGAAAGAGAAATCAGAATCCAGGAGACACTGAGACAAGACCAAGGTGGGCAGAGGGCATTTCTCCTCAGCCCAAAGTAAAGACCAACTGATGGAAATAAAACTTCACCCAAACACTTACAGAGAAATCTATTCTTAATATTTGGAAGAGCTCTGAGGCCTTTAATGTTAGGCTACAGACAAAGGCCAAAGGTGGTAAGAGTCTGCATTGCTGATCACAGACAGCTACACTAACAAAGCTTTTGGACCGCAAACTGAGCTCTCCCTGCTAGCCATGGGCCAACGCCACAGCTGGGGACCCTGGAGCCAGGGCCTCCGTGGCGCCTCAGGCCCACTTCTGGAGAGGAGCCCCAGGAGGGCCTCGGGAACCTTTGTCCCCTTACTGAAGGGAAGATAGTCCCCTCGGGCAAAACCACTTCTGAAGCGACCTGCGGGCGCCACTGCCAAAAGGCAGGCTCCCTACCTAACACGGCCTCCTTGAGCTGCGAGGATGCTGTGAACGCCGCTGCAGCAGCCGCCGCGGCATTTTCCGTCTCCATGTTGTCCTCTGTCAGGTCACCGCTAGGGACAAAAGGGAAGGAGACAGAGGGGACATCAGCACCTCTGCAACAGCCAGCCCCACACCCCACTACCGTTTCTGCCCCGCTTTCCAGTCTAGCCAGAGGTCATGGCACCGCTGACCCCACACACGTCTCTCCTCACTTCACCTAGAAAAACCTGGTTCCCAACTGGCCTGACCCTTCAGAGGAGAAGTTAACCATGCATTTGGGGACAGGAAGCCATGACCTCGGCAGCAGGAGAAAAGACATAGCCCTCAGCTCACCTGAGCCCCTCCGCCACTGCCCCCCCGAGCCTGTCCTCACCCGTGCGGGGCAAGGTTGGTGGTGACCAGCACAGTCTTCACCTCCTCCACACCACTGCCATCCGCCGCTGTGTCAGGCGTCGTCACCACCACCACCTCCTCCATGTGGACACTCACATCGGGGGTGGCCATGGCTCAGCGGATAAGAGACGCCAGGGCCCCGGGCCTGCAGGGCAACAGGGCAGGCACAGGGTTTGCATGGGGACCTTGCTACCTTCTGACAGTGGAGTGAGCACAGGGCGGAAGCCCCAGCAGAACCGTGGAGCTGCACCAGGCCCAAAAGCCCTGTGGTCACACTCGGGCGCTGGGAAGGAGCCAGGATGCAGGTGGATGCCTCTGGAGGCGGGTCCTGTCGGAATCCAGGGCTTCGCACAGAAAGCCCTTGGAGACCCACTGTCTCTGGTCTGGGAGACCCTCCCTGGTGTTACTTTGTCTTTGCCTCTTTGCCCTCCGGTGAGCCCCAACCCTCTAATCTCTGTGACGGTCGTGGTCAGGCAGGCACTGAAAACTCCGGGGACCTGAAGGCAGCTCACTGCTCCGCTGCTCTCCACCCTCTGATGCTTGGCTCAGGGCAGGCCAGGTACTGAGGTGTCACAGCACAGGGGACACATCAGAGACCCAGCTTTTAGGCAGAGCACAGAAAAGGCGGCTCTGGGGCTTGGAGCATGGAAGAGACTGCAGAGAGTGGGGAGGTGGAAAGGGCCTGACCCCAGCCATGTGTGAAGGCCCCAGTCACTCCTCACCTGTCTGTGTGCAGACCTGGCCCGAAATGGTCAGCCAAAGCTTTCGAGGACTAACCTCCAGGGTCGACCACTGCCCAGGTCTCAGACCAGCCTCGGATGGCACCTGAGGGACAGAGACCCCGGCACAGTCTGAAGGCTGAGAGGACTCAATACCACATCCGCCCACAGGAGGGGCTCAGACCCATAGCCCAGGTCCACTTCTTGCTATAACAAAATGCTCCATCCTCCACAGGGTCTCATAATATTCAAAGGATTCAGATGACAATCCGGAATTATCTACCACACAAAGAAGCAGGAAAATCTGACCAAAATTAGGGCAAAAATAATCCAAAGAAGCCCAGTCTGAGGTGACCACTGGAACCCCCAGTGGCCTGAGCTGCGGGTGCTCCTACTACATGAGTGGAGCCTGCTGTCCTAACCGGGTTGGCATAGGAAACAAAGTCACAGCCAAGTGGAAATTAGAAAATAAAAAAATATAATAACAAATAGAAACCCACCTTATGGGCTCAGTATCAGAATGGAGATGAGAGAGGAAAGAGACACAACAGTGAAAATATACAGCAGTACAAAAGATCTAATGTGAACAACAGAAAGAAGATGGAAAAAAGAATGAACAGAGCTTCTGGGAATGCAGAACAAAAGAAGTTGGCCATCTGTATCACCGGAGTCCCAGAGGAAAGAAGACCGTGTGGTGCTGAAAAACAACTCAGAAGAAATAACAGCTGAACACTTCCCAAGGGTAGTGGAAAATATAAACTTACACACTCAAGAAGTCCAACAAACTTCAAGCAGAATAAACTCAAAAGAAATCTATGCCGAGAGCATAATCAAATTGCTGAAAACGGATGACAAAGGAAGAATGTTACAAAAACAGCAGATAAAAAGGTACGCATTTCCCACAAGAGAACAGCAACCTGAAGGCCTTCGGGACTCTCCCCAGAACCACGGAACCAGAGGCAGGGACTTCCTTAACATACTGAAAGGAAAGAGCCTCAGGCCCGCATTCTGCAACAGGGAGAAGACTCTTCAGAAAGGGAGGCACAATAGAGACATTTTCAGATAAAAGAAACTTAAGACAACTGGCCACAAGCAGACCTGCTCTAAAAGCAATTTAACATAGCAGAGAGAAGCCTGAAGCTTCAGGAATGGAGGAAGGCAACACATGTGGTAAATATCTGGTAAAACTCAACAAAGTTTTCCCCTTCAGTTCTTTTTACTTATATATTTAGCTGTGTCAGGTCTGCGGCATGCATGATCTTTCATTGTCACGCACAGACTCTCTAGTTGCAGCATGCAGGTTTAGTTGCCCCGAGGCAGGTGGGATCTTAGTTCCCCAACCAGGGACTGAACCTGTTGCTTGCATTGCAAGATGGATTCTTAACTACTGGACCACCAGGGGAATCCCCAAAATGAAGTCTTAAGTTTAAAAATATAAAAACATACAGCACCAAAAGTGACACCAATGTAAACTACAGACTCTGCTTGATGATGAGTCACCTCGGCTTTGTGGACTGCAACAGACGTACTGCTCTGGTGAGGATGCTAACAGGGATGGAGGCTGGGGAGTAGGTATATGGGAACTCCACGGGTTCCTGTTCAATTGTGCTGTGAACATAAAACCTACCCCAAAAATGAGATATGTACATTACAACAGAATGAATATAGAGAGGACAGTAGAAAATGAAAAAAACAAGTTATAGGTGGAAGAAAATACTTGCAAACACATCCGACAAAGAACTTGCCTGCAGAATACCCAAAGAACTCAACAACAACACTATTTATTTATGTTTAACAACACAATTTAAAAGTAGGCAGAAGATGTGAACAGACACTTCAGCAAAAGAGAAGTCCAAATGAGCACACAGAAAGCTGCTCGACATCATTAACCCACAGGAAAATGCAAACTAAAACCACAAGAATACTACTGCATGCCTATTAGAACAGCCTAAAAAGCACCAACGAAAAGCTGATGACACAAAGACCAGGAGGATGTGAAGCAACCAGAATTCTCACACACAGCTGTGTGGTGCACCCACACTAAGAAGGGTCTGGACGTTTCCATAAAGTTAAATACACTACTCCTGCATGACCCTGCAAACCCACTCCTAAGTATCTGCTCCAAAGAAATGAAAACCTGTACACACAACGTTATGACAGCTTTATTCATGACTGTCAGAAACTGGAAACAACTCAAATGACCTTCAATAGATGGACATAGAAAGACATTCCATGGAGAACAGGGACAGTCTCTTCGAAGCACGGAGCTGGGAAAACCAGACCTCTGCAGGCAACAGATTGAGGCTGGACCTTCACTTACACCACAGACAAAAATTAACACAGGATAGATCAAAGATCCAAATATAAGAGTTTATACTGTAAAACCCTCAGAAGAAAGCAGAGGGTAAAGTCCTCCTGACACAAAATTTGGTAAAGATTTCCTTCTTTCTTTTTACTTTTTGGCTGCAGAGGTACAATTTGTGGGATTTTAGTTCCCTGATCAGAGACTGAACCCAGGCACTCGGCAGTGAGAGCAGAGTTCTAGCCATTGGACTGCCAGGGGATTCCCTAGCAATATGACACCAAAAGCACAGGCAACAAAAAACAGATCAATTAGCCTCCACTGAAATTAAAAACTATTGTGCACCAAAGGACACTCTTGGGAGACTGAAAAGGCGACCTACACACTGGAAGGCGGTGTCTGCGCAGCACATGCCCACCAAGGGATTCACACCCAGGATGCAACTCAACAACAGCAAAACGAATGGAACTACAGGCCAAGTATCATTTGGAGGAGACATTTCTCTGAAGGAAATCTGCAAACAGCCCATCAGCCATGGAACAGATGCTCAACACCCTTAATCACTGGGGAAATGCACACGAAAACCACAAGGAAATACCACTTCACACCCATCAGGATGGTTATTAAAAATAAACGGAAAGTAAGTGTGGTCAGAATGTGGAGGGACTGGAACCATTCTGCACTGGTGGCAGACCAACAAAATGGTGACGCCCCTGTGGAAAGCAGTCTGGCAGGGCCTCAGAAAGTCACACATACAGGGACTTCCCTGGCCGTCCACTGGTTAGGACGCCACACTTCCACTGCAGGCAGCACGAGGTCGATCCCTGGTCTTGATCCCTGGTCAGGGAATTAAGATCCCACATGTCATGAGGTTAAAAAAAAAAAAAAAAATCACTTTAAAATCACCCTTATCACCTGAAACGAACACAACCTTGTTTGTTAATCGGCTATAGCCCAATAAAAAGGTTTTAAAAAATTGCCCTGAAAGTAATGTTGTTCTGTGGTACTTGGCCCTCATGGAGGCACCTCTGCTTTCACCAGGTATGATCTGAGAAGCCCAGAAAGCCACGCTTGACCCCAAAGCTGCAGAAAGGCAAGGACCCACCCTCCAAGAGCAGCTGTTCACACCCACATCTCAAAACTGCACAGAGCACTGAACAGTGAAAACCCACAAGCTGGAATTTCTGCCTCTCCAAGGGCAACTATATAAGCTCCCAAAATTCCTCTTTCCCAATTAATTTTGAGGTAAAGAAAACATGACAAAATGTTTCCAAAACAGCATTTTGGGGCATAAACATATAAAAACAGGTTAAAAATGTGTGAGTGCACAGTTAGTACATCAGATTCAGATCTAGCTTTCCATGTCTTCAAAAAAATCAAATATTTTCCTTTGATAAAAATATAATCAGAAACGCAGCAGAGGGCCTAGGTCACACAGCAATGGCCCACAGACACAGTTTCTTTGATCCTCACCTTGTTTCAAAATATGTAATTAGTTGCAACTTTTTCAAAGTTTACAAGCTTCACACTTCAGAAATCCAGATTTCCAGTGTCTCTTGAGGAGTCAGAAACAGCCATTCCTGGAGGTGGCCCTCTAGCTCTGCTTTTCCTTGAGAATCTGGGCTTCCTTGCCCTGCCTTCCTGGGGGGTGAGGGGGGCACAAGCACTCGCTGTCCAGTCTTGACCACACCCTGCATTACACTGGTCAGGCTGCATCAGGCTCTTAAGTGAGAAACCTGTATGTGTAAGTTTCTCCCCTGTCCAGTATGTCTTCCCAAAGTCTTAAGATACTTCCTACAAAGAAGTAATTTCTGACCAGTCTGCTTAATGTATTTTGTTACATTGGGGATTTATTTAATCCACTTGGTTTTATCCTAAACAGACTGGTGCATACTGTTGTACTCAGTTGTGCATGGTTGGTGGGAATGTAAATTGTGCAGCCGCTATGAAAACAGTACCAGGTTCCTCAAAAGACTAAAAATAGACCTGTCATATGATCAGCAACCCCACTTCTGGGTGTATATATGAAAGAACATAAATCAGGATCTCCAAGAGACACCTGCACCCCTTGTTCACTGGAGCATTATTTACAACAGTCAAGATATGGGAGTAACCTCACTGTCCATGGACAGATGAATAGATAAAAGTTTGGTATACACACACAATGGAATATAACTTAGCCTTTAAAAAAAAAAAGAAAGAAATTCTGCCATTTGTGACTACATGGAAGAATGTGGGAGACATTATTCTATGTGAAATAAGCCAGACAGAGGACAAAATACTGCATGATACCACTTCCTGGAAAATTCCATGTATAGAGGAGCCTGGAGTGCTACAGTCCATGGGATCACAAAAGAATCCAACACGACTTAGTGACTAAACAACCACCACCACTTACATGAGTGTAAAACAGTCAAACTTAGACAGGCAGAGTGTGGAATGGTGGTTGCAAGCATTTGCTGAAGAGGGACCAGGACATGTTGGTCAGAGTACAAAGCCTCAGATATGCAAAATGAGTAAATACTGGAGGTCTGAGATACTGCATAGTTAACAATATTGTATACTTAAATTTTTGCTAGCTAATCGTTCCTACCACAGAGTAATAATGAGAGCAGGAAATTTTTGGTGACTGAGAGTTTAATGGTATAGATCGTAGTTTCACAGGCGTACATTAACTCATAAAGTTGTATACTGGTTATCTCAGCTTTTTAAAAAAATGAATAAAAAGAAGATTGATGTAACTGAAATTTGTATTTGAAGTGTTAGCAAAGAAAGATAACCTTGGCTATCTGAAAGAAAACTAAGTAAATCACAAAGTTAGGCAACTATGTAACAGGTCATTACTGGCAATGGACCCCTACCAAGAGGTTCACTTGGCTCTGGCTCTCACCAAGGGGTCTGCAGGCGTAAGGCCCCCACAGAAAGGGGCGTATCAACGTGGCCCCAAGGGTAGAGGGTTATCCAGGAGGCCCTCGTGGGAAGGGGGATTATCTCCGAGGCCCCCATGAGAAAGGGATATCCACGCGGCCCCCACGGGATGAGGGGGCATCCCCGCGAGCCCCACGGGAAGGGGAGTATACACGACACCCCCACGGAAACGGGGCGATCCACGGGCCCCCACAGGAAGGCGGGGCATCCGCGCGGTACCCTCCACGCGGCCCCCGCCCAAAGCCCTCCCTTGCGCCCGCCGCCCGCCGCCTTCCGGCAAGATGGAGGCCGCGCCGCCGCCGACGCGCCTGATGCCGCGCACGCACGGGCAAGGGCGAGCCCGGGGATTTATTTGGCGCTCGGCGTGGAAGCGGGCGGTGCCGAGAAATAAGGCCCGGCGAGCCCGGGCGCGCGTGCGCGTGGGTGTGGGTTGGTCTGGAGGTGGATGTACCTGCCTTTTCTTGGGGCTGTGGGTCACGCTGCTTAACCCCCCCCGCCCGCTGGCTCACCTGCCTGGCACGGCGGTAACAAGACCCCGGAAAGTGTGCGTAGGAAGACTCGTTTAGGGTTGGCAAGAAATGTGAGTGACCTCCCCGTGTGTGACAGGGTCTCCCCAGAGGCAGGCAGGCGAGAGGGCTGCCCTGGGGGTCGTATAGTCCGAATCCTGCGATTATCATGTTTTATTTTTGTATTACAGTAAGCCATAAAGACGGCTTTGAACATTCTTACTTCTGAATCGGCGCGGCGCCCCCCAGTGTTCCTGTGTCGATTCCCAACCGCGCTGTTCTATGCTGTAGTCACTGACCACGTTTGCTCATCTTAATTTGCGTTAACTGAAGTTAAAATCCAGTTCCTCCGCTATCACAGAGCCACGAAGGACACCCTGAAGTAGGGTTAGGATCGCTGTGAGAACTCTTAAAATTACAGTAACTGGCTGGAGTATAAAGACCCTAGATTTACCAGAACATGAGACGGTTAGCAGCACTCAGCTTTCATGGAGTTCCTTTGACTTGGGAGCCAGCACAACCAGGCCTTAATGTTTGCTTGAAAGGTGCACTGGGGGCCCAGGGGATGGCAAGTGGGGTTCATCTGCCCTGCCCAGG